TTATATTATTATTCTTTTCCCTCACTTTTTTGCTTTTGATACTCACCGAGGAATGAAGGACGCCATTGCAGGGATCACATACTCCGGATTGCATATTCATCGTGTCCATAATAAGTGTGAGTGCACGCAATTGGCAAGACCTCGATTCATTTTTTCCCCTTTTTCTGCAAATTAAAATGTCACGTTGAGTCACTCGATGGATTTCACGTGTGGAAAATTGAGGAAATCGTCAGGAATTCAAGAATTCTTACATTTTCAAAATGCGTTTTGATTTTTATTTTCGGACTGTAATTTGTCGAGAGTCCCGGGTAAAAAAAATTGTAATCGAAATATTTTTTTCAAATTTTCAAAAAATTTCGGGAAAACTTTTTAGATAATTTTTTTTAGGAATTTTTTTGGGGGGGGAAAGGTTTTGAAAAATTTTTCAAAAATTTGAATAGGACATTTTTTTTATAATTCGGATGGCGTATTTTTTGAGAATATTGAAAAATCAAAAAATTAAAAAAAAACAGTATAATTAAAAAAATATATAATGCCAAAAATTTCAAGAGAATTATAAAAAAAATTATTCGAAACAAATTTTTGAAAAATTTATCAGAACATTCCTCGAAAATTCAATTCTTCCGCTTCCCGTTTTTCTTTTCAAAAAAAATAATTCTCTGTAAAGTTTTCCAGAAATTTTTTGAAAATTTTGAAAAAATATTCCGATTATAATTTCATTTTACCCGGAGTCCCACCTGTAATTAAAATGCCATGCTAATTAATTCCACGAGTTTCCAAAAATTCCAGTTGATTGACAAAATCCAGAGGAATTCAGGAATTTTTAAATTCTCAGAAGTGTTCTGACCCATTTTTATTCTCGAAGGGCAATTTGTTGATAATATTTTTCGATTTTTTACTGCTGACCGAGCCATCGGCAGAGCAACTCCAATGAATACATTATGACCCATAACAGCTAAAAGTTACTGCCAAGTTCTTTTATGGACGGTAACTGGAGAGGATTTACACTTTTGTTATCGTTCCACCCTGTACTGATATTATTATATCACGTACTCAACTCAGGGTTTACCCCGTGTCCCTCGAGTTATTGGTCCTACGATAGTTGCAAAAATACCCGCGTATCTCTCACCTTCCGTTAAACAATAAAAAACCAAAAGACAATATTATAATGTAAAAAAAAATCATCAATCATTAATCAGTAATGTCTCAATAATAATAATTTTATTCAGGGCATTTTAAAATCCCAAGAATTGCTAGATCATGAGGAAAACTCGATAATTGAAGTCATTTTATTTCTAAACGAACCGCTCGTTAAATTCTCCTCTAAAAAATTTGATATCTAGTTTAATTCATGACTGATGAGTTCATTTAAAAGAAAAACTCAAATCAATGATAGGTTCACCTTGAGGACGTAATTACCGTCGGTTTTTCTTCGGTGCATAACGAGACTACGCGGGATTTATTTCCGAAGAGGTCAAGAGGGTGCGGAAATCTGGGAAAAAGGTTTTTCAATTTAAGGAATTGAATTCCAAGTGCATGAAAGAATTTTTCATTTCGATAGTGCATGACAGAGTTTACATTCAAAATTGCAGTCCATTTTCACAAATGACTCATAACGGTAAATAATACAGATCCTCTCTGATGCATATTTAACCAGTGGATAGTTAACCACTCCCATTTGAATTTCAATTTTCGCGGTGGAGCAAAAGGGGATTCCCCTGAAACTAAATTCTCTGGAAACCAAGGAAACAAATAGAATTAAATTAAATCCAGCTTCAGAGAAATGTTTTCATTTTTTCTAAATCAAATTGAATTTTATCTCAAATCATTTGCCCCTAAACAAATAAATATACAATAAAATTCTTCAAACAATAAAAAACCAAAAATTGAATAAAAATTTGGTTGTAATTGAATTTTTCAAATTTTCACATTCTGATGATTTCAATTACCAATTTAATTATCAACAATTTAATTCTTGGTGGGGGAGGGGGCGGAGGGGAAGTGGTTCAAATGTTTTTATTAATCGATGATTGATTTAATTTGAATTGGAGTGACCTGGACACGAGTCAATTGTTAATTTAAAAAAATCAAACGGCAAAATGGAATGAGAGAGAATCACATGTTTCACGACCGCATGGACAGGTTCTTGACCATGACAGGATGCCACAAGGACATTCAGCAAGACAAAAACCACTAGAACGGTACGAGAATTCCTTCGATTTTCCCCCACGTGCGGAGAAATACCGCAATAATTATTTATTCTCACAATTAAAAAAAAGAAGCACCGAGCGCTCTTTTTTTTCGTTACTCGCCTCCAGGAATTTTAGCGCAATAAATCCTAATGTCCGGATAATTAGAATCATGGGATTGGCTGGAATTTCCAGACATTTTTCAACCATGAAATCGATATTTTTAACAAACAAATCCGCTACCTCACTTACATAATAAAATACGAACGATAATTAACAATCAATAAATGTCAATGAATAAAAATTAAAGCGCTGAATATTCACACAAATTTTATGTACGCTGAGTGAATATTATGAGATATTGTTTATTTATGGGGGTAGCTGTAATGGGGCAGACTTAAATGGCCCGATAATTAATAATAATTAGGGATAATAGAATAAAAATGTGGAAATATCGAGGAACGGAATAAAAACGTTGAATGACTTTTTGGAGGAACGAATTCAGATGCAACAATGGAATTAATTTATTAAAAAAAAGAACTGGACAGTCGAGATTTTTTGTTATTTCTGTCTCATTGATCATGCATGACTTCGGTGTTGATTTCCACTTGTTGTGCGTCATGGCAGCTGTTACAGAGGAAAACAAATAAATAGATGAAATCACGGGGTTTTTTGAGGAGAAGAATTTAAAACTTTGATCCAACTATTAATTCCCGACACGTATCTCATTGTGGTTTATGTACACTGAGACGACCTTGCCACAAGCTTGGCTTTCCGGGTTTACCGGGTGCCGTTGAGAAAAATAAAAAGGAAAATTCACGTTCAATGCGTTTGTTAACTGAATTTTTTCATGCAAAACGCATCTTAATCGCTTGATTTTCCTCTTTACATTCGTTTTCTCGATTAAATCAGTGTCAACCTGTCATTACAGTAATTAATACGTTCCAATGGGTAATTGAGAGGACACATGCTTAATTGGTGCTCATGTTATCGTCATTTCCGGTTGAATTAAATGCACGGATTTTTCTTTGTGAGCAACTCTCATCGATTAACAAATAAATAATTCCCAGTTCTAATCAGAAAATTATTGATTGGATAAATTAAATTTTTTGAATTATTCTTCCCAGTGATTCACTAGAATGACATTAATTCCAGTTTCTCCAGAGTAAATAAATAATAAATAATGAGAGGGGAATGGAATAAAAACGAGGGGAAATTAGTGGATTAAATTGTTTTTGGTGCAATGTTGTTAATTATTCACGCGATGATGTACCAACGGGTTTGATGCATCAGATTGAATTTTTCGTTGAAACTGCAAGTGGTCAAACCGGTTTGGCGTTTAAAAGGAAGACCACGCGTTGAAAAAAAAAAAATATGCGGTGGGAGAATGAATTGGGAAGTCCTTGATGACCGTTGATGACCGGACGGACAGGTCCACAACCACGTGCTCGTTCCAATGACAATAGCTGCTTGATCCATATTGTTTTTCATTATTCCGTCATGTAAATACACCTATTGTGTTCAATAATCCCACCTCAGCAGGAAAACCTGCCCTCACCACATCTTTATAAACAAAGATCATTTATTAATCTATAAAACTAAACAAAATGCTGGAATCCCTTCAACTCTTTTATCTTAATCACTAAATCCCAAATTATCTCCTAATTCGTAAATAAATAAACAAAATATGATATCGATTATATATTTTTTTTCACGGAATCGATAATCGAAATGAATTTCTATTCAGATTTTTCGAAGAAATCTATCGAATGGGAAAATACTCATGGAACGACGAATCGAGTTTTATTGATTTTAGAATTAAATAGATTGCACGATATCGCCGTGAAGGAGTGATCAATTCCGATGTAAATATCTCGCGGTAAATTTCCATACGAATTCCCAGTTTGCTCATCTCTTAGGAATATGAAATATAATGTTAGATCATCAAATCATTCCACCCCATCTAGGAAATAAGAGTGTATCATTAGATCTCGTCGGAATGAATTTTGTTCGGAAAAATGATTGAGGAAGTATTTGATTGCTTGTTAAATGATCTGAAACAGTATATTAAATTCCTGGAAAGTACGTCACGGGGACATTTACGCGAGGGAACCCCATCTCCAGTCTGTCGATAAATTTTTAAAACCATCTTTGATTTTTTATTGAGTCAACGTGCGAAATTCCTCGAGATTTAGATGACATGGGAATACCTGCAGCCGCCATTTTGTTACCCTAAATCATTCCATTTATTTATTCCATTCCATTTGTTCAGACATTTATTAATCGGTTTATTATTTATCATTTTGGGATAATATATCGGAATCTGGTGCATTCTGAATGCACTAAAAAATTGATTTGACCCACGGAATTGACCCACACCATTTCTGACTATTTATTATTCCAAACCCATAAAATTCCATTCTTTAAACATTATTTGCATTTATATTTTTCACAGACCGATTTGATATGTATTTTTGAAATGATTGGGGGTGGAATGCGTGGGGTATTGAGGGTATAATTGACCCACGGAATTGACCCTCATTAGATCACACCTGCTGAGAACGTAAAATTAATGAAATAAATGTCATTTACGTTTAGACTTTTTACGGATGATTTTGAGATTTTGAAAAATGATCAGGATTGGCGGAGAATGGGACAATTGGGTAGTGACACTGAGTGGAACATCCAGGGTATAAATGACCTGGAAAATTAGCCCACAGCATCTGAGTTGTGAGACCCTCAGCATTAGGGTGGGGAGAAGAGCTCGTGGGGCAGTTGAAGGCTATAAATGCCACAAACGAACCACAGACTACTTACTGGAAAGAGTCGTGAAAGACTAACCAAGCGTGTGATGACGATGAAGCGGGTTTCTCCCCGTAGAAGTCATCCGGTACCACAAATCACGAACTTTCGGTTGTACAGTGCGTGTGGAAGACGCGCAACAAGTGTTCAAACATTGTTTTTTCTTTCGTAATTTTACTCAGGGGAGAGTGTGTGTTAACTCATTTTTTTTTATAAAATTCCTGTGTTATTTTGAGACAATTGTGGATTTCTGTGGAATTCTCTTGTGCAAGTTCATTGGAGTATTCTGAAAGACTGACGTGAGTACTTGAAATATCGTCAGTCTAAATAAAATAGATTGTTTATTCCATTTAAATACCTCAGAATATTTTTTTCAAATCATTAATTTTTCAATTTTACCGCTTTTATTTATTTTGAAATTCATTTTTTTTTTTCATTGCAGCTTAAATGCTAAATAATTAGCATTTTTAATAAAATCGTTGAGTTTTGTTGAATAATTTAGAATTTTTCTTTGTAAATCAGATTTTTCTGATTTGAATGACTTTTTTCTAGAGCAAGTTATGCAACATTTAAACAAATTTGTAATGTAAATTAATTAGTGAATGGGTAATAATAGCCTGGGATCAGCGTGAATCCATAAAACATACAAATCTCTATTATCTAAGCTGTTGTAAACACTCAGCTAATTCCTAAGTCTCCGTATACATTCCCCAATCGTAATGCTGTCGCAGTGTCATCATTGAAAATTGTAACTGAACTGAATCTAAACATCTTCAAGGTTTTCACAGGTAGGAGGCAATTAGTCTCTCACGGAAACGAATCGATTTTCCCGTTTGTGTACATTAATAACTATTAATTAATATTCATACGCCTGAGGGCAGGATTACACGTGAATTAGTGACAGCCGGTCGTTTACTTCTCATTATCAATTTCAGAGGATCGATATTTTCTACCACCGGTCATTAAATCTTCAATTAAAAAGTCATTCACGGATAAACAACTGACGAAAATACCAGAATTCCATTTGAAATCTCTAGAAGAATTCCTGAATTTATTTGAATATATTAATTTACGGTAGAAATTCACTCTCACTTCGAGGTTTTCAATTGTATTTTAACATTAATATAATTTTTTTTAGGTGATAAGCAATAGTCGTATATTTGTCAAGTCGAGGAAAACTCATTGTTGAAAGACAAATACCTCCTGATAATAGTTTTTGTGTCCTCAATTCTTGTTTTTATTAGCGAAGTCTCTTAATAGATTACGAGCACTTGAGCGGTAAAAATAAAATCATTAAGTGTCGATTTTTCTTGGTGAACAGAATAAAGTGAATCGATTTGGTTATTTTTCCCATTATTTCCATCTATTTCCGAACCATTAGGACTATTATTCATTATTTTATTTTCTAACTTCAAAGTTCATCTCAAAAATAATAGAATACGTAATGCAGTAATTGAATTAGGTCAATTACTCGTATATGCATTCCGCGGATCGATCGATAAGTTATCGCGATTGTAATCGATAGTTTAATATTTAGCGACTCTGATTCGATTTTTTTATTTATTCCGACTGACAACAGATTTTTTTGAAAAAAAAAAACTTGGATTGTCACTTCAAGAGGATTTAATTGAAATAAGATCCAGCAAATAAATTTCTCACGAATGAAAACGGATGTGCGTCATTTTTATTTATCAATTTTTTTCTATTGGAAGACGAATTAAAAATAATTGAGTGGTGGATTAATTAATTTGGAGTTGCTTGGATAATTTAATACCTTTTTAAATTTTTTATTTTTAGAAAAATTGAACAATGACAGTGGCAGTGGAGTCATCAAAGGCGGAAGAGGGCGAGGGAAAAATGAGAATTGAAACATTCGACGATATTTTACCGCACGTCGGAGAAGCTGGACTTTATCAATTGATTTTATTCCTCATCCTCTTGCCCTTTACCTTCGTCTACGCTTTTCTCTACTTCACACAATTTTTTCTGACTCTAATTCCAAATGAACACTGGTGCACCGTTCCAGAACTCGATGGGTGGAACCTCACAGATAGTGAAAAGTATGATAAAAATAAAATTCATCCACTCCCAACAATATTTATTTTTTATTGATTTTTCATCCATCAATATTTTTTATCGATTATTTCAACACGTTATTTCCAGAATTTCCATTTGTCGTTATAAAAATAATGAATAATTACTGCGCAATTTCAATTGGAGGAGATAATTAAATAAATGAGAATTACAACTCATTATTGAATGACTGAAGTGAATTTGGTGTTCGTGTCATTTTTTTTTTATAATCTCATGACCATTCAGTGCCAGAAATAATTTCATGTATTGATAAATAAAAATGGATAATTATTATCTATTACTCGAGAAATATCCACACGAGGCGAGAGTAATTAAGTGACTGGTGGAAATACTGGAGATCTAGCTCGCATGTCGATCAATCGTCTTTTTAAAAATCCCGGGTGTATGCTAATTAATTCGAGTGCAAGGTTGTAGATGATAATTATCTCGTTAACAATGTGGAGGCGAGCGAAATGGAAAGCAAATGTTGAACGAGGATAATTGGTAACAGATTTACAGCAGCTGTTCGTTAATCTGATGACGATTTTCCATTCGTAATATTAGGAAGTGACAAAATTTTTCCATTAATTCCTTTAAAAAAACTCAATTACCAAATGATTTCGCTGAATTTCCATCGATTGGTCAATTAGTTCACGAGTATTTGACTATTCATTAAGTCATTTTTAGCGTAAAAATCGCTATTGTGGGTTAAAAAATTATTTTTCTATGATTACAGAATTGCTTTATCAATTCCATTAGCAAATTCGATAGAGAGACAAGCAGAGGGTGCAACTGAATTTTCGAGATGTCAAATGTATGACGTGAACTTCACAGAAGTCATGTTATCGGGTATCAAAGTGCCTGATCCTTCGTGGGGTGTAAGACCCTGCGCAAATGGATGGAGTTTTAATTTCAGTGCTATCCCCTACGCCTCCATTGCAGCCGAATTGGAATGGGTTTGTGATAAAACTTACCTCTCCTCAGCTGCTCAATCAGCTTTCTTCGTTGGTAGCATAATCGGTGGATTCATCTTTGGATACATAGCTGATCATTATGGAAGAATTCCCGCCCTCGTGTCATGCAATGCGGTTGGATTTTTTGCATCAGTGGCAACAGCATTCTGCAACAGCTTCTGGACTTTCTGTCTAGCCAGGTTGATCGTTGGAACTTCATTCGATAATTGTTTCAATATTCTGTTCATTATTAGTGAGTTCATTACTTATTATTTGTCCCTCCCCGATTCCCAGAACATTCCCATTTATTTTTTTCCCTCAATTAATAAAGAGATAAGCTGTAGAAAAAAAATTATGTGAATTGATTGGATCTCTGACATCTGATGATCAGATAATTTCAAATTAATTTCAATTAACTTCCAGCGATCGAGTACGTGGGACCCAAGTACCGTACCCTAGTAGCGAACATGTCCTTCGGAATTTATTTCGCGATAGCCGCGAGTGCTCTTCCTTGGGTGGCATACTGGATAGCAGATTGGAGAATTCTCAGTGTTGTGACAGCAGCTCCTCTGGTCGTAGCTTTCTTCGGTCCCTGGATTGCACCAGAGAGTGCACGATGGTACCTGATGGCGGGAAAAACAGATAAAGCCATCGAGATGCTGAAGAAGTTCGCCAAGGTAAACGGCAAGACCGTTAAACCCGAGATTTACGAGGAATTCGAGAGGAGCTGCAAGGAGATGATCGACAAGGACAAAAAACTCAATAAATACACTGTCCTTGATCTCTTCAGGATGCCCAGACTAGCCCGAATCACAATTGTCCTCGTCATCTACTGGCTTCTCATCATTCTGGTGTTCGATGGTCATGTCTGGAATATGAAACTCCTTCATCCTGATGTATTCACTTCTTTTTCACTAGCTGCACTCACTGAACTTCCAGCTGCTCTTCTTCTCGCTATTTTTCTTGATAAATGGGGCCGCAGGTGGATGGGATTCGCATCGATGCTCATGTGTGGAGTCTTCTCCTGGATTGCCCTGGCAACTCCTGAAGGTATTTCAATCAAATTTATGAAAACAAATAAATAAAAAATTAAATATCATCCTCTCAATCAGATATCCTCTGGTGTCAATTCTCCCAGGAGTGTTAATCATCAGACCTGGGGATTGATAAAGATAATTGATACTTGTAATTCTTTTTTTTTTCTCACCGCAACTTTGATCATGAAAAGCCATCTCGTATCCTAGGTGGCAAATCTCCGGGGGTAGTTATATTTTGTCGTCGATCGATAAATTGTATTTCCCACCTTTCAGGTACTGTTACCGTCGCCATGGCAATTCTTGCTCGTCTCGGTGTCAATGTAGCCGCAAATATTGGCTTTCAGTACGCCGCCGAGATGCTACCTACTGTTGTAAGAGCCCAAGGTGTATCACTTATTCACATTATTGGATACTTCGCTCACATAATTGGACCCTACATCATTTACTTGGTAAGATGATTAACTGTTTGTAATTAACTCGTCGCTATTATATACCGTTCGATTTGATAACAGAAGATCAAAGGAGGAGCAATTGCTCGAGAAACCTTTAAAGATAGTCTTCTTACTTTTTTTGGGGGTTCAGTATTTTTTTTTTTCTATTTTTATATTCATTTTTTATGGATTAATGGAGAAAATCGGTTGCGCTTTTGAGATGTCGTTTTTATTTATCGTATATTTACTCTGATTTTTGGCAGGCTGACGTTCGTAAAGAATTACCTCTGATTTCTCTCGGTCTTGTATCCATGGTTGTCGCCTTTCTGACACTAACATTGCCCGAAACCCTCGACCAAGATCTCCCAGAAACACTGCAGGAGGGTAACGACTTCGGAAAGGAACAAAACTTCTGGTGGATCCCCTGTAGATCCTCGTAAGTATTAATGAGAAAAGAAAACTTATCGTCCAATTTATCACAAAGTTTTTCCGCTTATCAACGATAATGTAGATAAAGAGATTAAACCATCATTTATGTTTCAGCTCTCACGAAAAAAGGAAGAAGTACAGAAAGAAAATTGCTGCTGTCAATGCGGGATTCAATCCCGGAAGTCTCACAAAAATCGACTCCACGAGATTATAACGAAATTTATAGACTAGTTCATCAGAAATTATATAAAAATTGAGGCAATTCTCAGCCGATTTGGCAGTAAATGAGTGAAACATCATCAACTCTCGATGAACTATGAATTTTATTTAAAAAAAATCGAAAACTCGAAGGGTAACCATTGAAATCAATTTTCCGCGGGTTTTCTGGTTTTTTTATTTATAGACCGGAAGTGATGGTATACAGTGGGAAGAGTACAAAAAAAAACTCGACGAATTTGACAGAAGTTGAAAAATAATTGACGTAAATTTCCCATCGAATGACTTTTAAACAATCGGCGAACGTCGGAGAAGTGAAATTCTTGGAAAATGCGATTTTAAGGATCAGTCGACAGTTTTCGAAAGAATAATCACCTCACGTCCGATAATTCGCTGATAAAAAAATTCAACGCCCCAACGAATTCGTCAGAGAATTCCACTCGATTTGTGATAAAATTTCTAACAAATTCGTTTGGTTCATTTTTTTTTCATATTTTTACGCAGATGAAAGTCATACTCACGACATTATCCTCTCTTCATTCAGGTAGGATCATTCAGGTACTTACTAGCATCAGTAAATAAAAAATCTGATGAATCGAAATGCGGGAAATCGACGAGCAATTCATAGATTTCTGTCGCATTATCTCGATCTTATCAAATCATCACTCCATCATTAATGTAATAACTGTTGTACAAACAATTTTATGACTCTGTTCAGTATTTTAAATGATTTATCAATTACAGTATATTTCAATCATGATACACGCTGAAAAATAAACAGAATAAAAATTCAATGGACAATACTTTCTCAGTGAATTGATAAATTACAAAATAATTGTTCTTTTATTTTATGATTGAGACAATGAGATCATCGAGAGTGACTATTATGAGCTGAACTTTCCTCGTCCCGAGGTTTTCCGCAGCAGGGGAGGGACCAGAAGCTGTCATTTTTTCCGAAATTCGCACCCTCTTCAAGGGTTTGAGGCAGTCGTCGTCCCCTCGTCTCTGGAAGAAAAAGAACCAAGACAGAAGTTCCCAAAGAAAGGACCCCAACTAGCATCATTGGAAATCCTTCCCAAATGGCAGCCTAAAATCAGATTTCATTCACAATTAAAAAAAAATCTATTGACTCATTCATCAGCAATCAATTGTGCAAAAATCTGGATTAAAATTTGAAAATTTCCATTGTTATGTTGAAAATTCATACCATCGGAACTATAACAGAATTTTCGATAGAAATTGTGAGGGTTTCAGGTGAAAATCGGGTGGTTATTGGGGTTTGAGTGAATAATTGATGATTCCTTACAAGATCAACAATAAATGGTGAAACCGTGTGCCCTATGATACCAAAAACGTGGACCAGAGCAACACCCTGAGCCCTGATGGGTGTGGGCAGTAATTCAGTAGCATATTGAAGCCCTATATTAGCTGCCATGTTTGCTGAGAATCTAGCGAGCACCGATGAAGCCAATTTTCCACCAGCTAAACCAGAGAAAATGTGTATTGGGTAAAATCTTAGTTGATTAATTTTTGTTTTTCAAGTTATTCGGGCTTGCGTACTTGATGGAAGATATAACTCAGCGAAACTGCACGCGCTTATTCCAGCGGCAGTGAGAAATCCACAGAATCTTCTCCCCCAGCGATCCAGGATGAGGGTAACTAGAAGACCCGCAGGTAATTCCGTCGCCGAGGCGAGGGAAAACGATACGAATACGGAGCTCTGCAGGAGTTTCAGAGAATACACGTGGCCATCAAAGCAAATTATCGTGAAAGTCCTGTGAAAATACAAGAGATTACTCAGGTTTCTGCGACGATGGAAATTTTAATCAATTCATGAGTTTCTGGGAATTTCACTTGAATAATAATTCGTCGGAAGTTTAACGTCAGACGTTGGGGAATGATTATTTAATATTCACATGCATTTGGATTTTTTGGTGAAAAAATAAACATTTTTTTATTTTGTTAATTCATTTGGTTGATTTTTTTTATTAGGGTAGCTCGGGGCATTTTTTATTTGCAACGTCTTACCAGAAGGCAGTGGTCAGGATAATGATTTTAATCAGACGTGGAGTCTTGAGGAGATCGAGCATTGATGCTGATTCATCTAGTTTAGTGGCATTACTCGCATTCCGCTGTAAGCAATTATTATAATGACAGGGATGGCTTCATTAAATCCCGGAAGAATGGATAATCACTCGTACAGCGAAAGAAACTATTATTCTCGCAACATACCACGTACCACGTAAATATCGTAGATCCTGGGGTCCGGACTCTTTCCATTGGCTTTCGCTATTCTCTTGAGGTTTTCCACTACTTTGTCCCATTTCCCATGGGACGCATACCATCTATAAAATATTGGGACTAAAAATCAGAAGATCCAAGATTAAATTATGACTTCGTGGGGAGAAAATTTATTTTTCCCCCCCGATGTAAACAAAATAAATTCGCTGTGATTAAATCTATTTTATTGAATCCGTCAAATCGATTGCTGTAATAAATCGATGTAGTCAATACACGAATTGTTTCCATCGAAGTGAAATACGAAATTCTGTTTCACAACATTTCGAGTTATTCGAGAGGACATGTGTTTTTATTGGATTTCGTGTCGGAATTTCATTCGGTAACTCGAGTAAATAAATACAATTCACTGATATTTACTTTAACCTCGAGGTGAGTGGAAAGAATTGCAAATATCAACTTACCGTGCACTTTCTGGTAAAATCCAGGGTGTGAAGATACCGATTGCCATGGGAACTGAAACGACGTAAGCAAGATGTCTCCAATTGGCGATGTAGTAAGCAGCCCAGGGTAAAAGAGTACTTCCAATAGCAAAATGAATACCAAAGGCTATATTGAATACAAATGTGCGACGGTGGACTGACATGTACTCAACAACTGCAATGAATATTCAATAGAATCCTTAAATAAAAAATGGAAATTCCAATTTTTGCAAAATTGAACGAATCATTCCACGGAATTCCTCAATAAAATATTTATCGTTTTTTTTTTCAATGACAAAAACCACTTGCATGCAACAATTGATTCAAGAAGTCTCAACGGCAATTTAACTATCGGTTATAAAATTTTATTAGACTTGCGGTTATGCGGTGAGAAATAATCCTCGAGCAGATGATTTTGTACCTAGGATCAGAGGGATGTTGATGCAATTTTCGTACGCAAGTCCAGAAATAAATCGACAAAGGGCGAATGTTGTGAAGCTGTTGGTCCAGGCAGTGGCAATTGTTGCGAGAAAGCCGACGATATTGCAGACAACGAGAGCTGGTACACGACCCCGATTATCAGCTAGCCATCCAAATAAAAAAGCACCTAGTATCGAACCGAGGAAAAAAATTACCTGAGCTGTAGAAATCAGGTACTCCCTGGTGCATACCCAATCCAGCTGATTAACAATAAACAGTTAATTCGATTCTCTTTATTGTTGAGAGCTGGGATAAATGCCAGCATTATGCAATAATTATCGTACCTCGCTGCCAACGCTGTCGTAAGGTACCACAGATTTGTTGTACTCCCAGTGATCACACGGTATTAATTTTTCCGTCTGCCACGCAGCAGCTGTTAAATTATTTTTCTCCAACAATTCCGTAAAATTCAGATCCTTGCGGTTGCACTTATCGTAGTACGGGTATTTAGATGATGATGGAATTGATAATCTCACTCTGAAAATTGCGAAGGCAAAATGGAATTATCAATTTTATTCTAAACAATATTATGATTTGTAATTGCGAGTGAATTCTCAGGAGTGGGACTGGATGAGATAAATCATTACCTCTCGTCCATCGTCAGGTTGACTCCCTGGAGCTCAGGTACACGACACCAGTGCTCTTGTGGCACAAGTGTGAGAAAAAATGTTGAGAAATAGAGATTAGCATATGTTATGCAAAATGGAAACAGCGCAAATAGCAAGTACCACTGGTATTTTCCAAAATCTCCAACGTATGGCAAAATATCGTCGAATGTTTCCAATTTTTTTTTTAATGCTGTCCTCTCGCTTGGCTCCATCTCCGAATTTATCTTGAACTCTTCCTTCATGTCTCGATAATTCTAATGCATCAATTTTTCATCTGCAATTGAAAAGCAAGTGCGACTCGATATGAAATATTAATAAGGAATAATCAATCAGTCTTCGCATTTAGTAATCAATTACTGGAGCAATCGAATTTCACTGGCTCATTCTAGCCTGTTGTTCCGTCAATTCCGATTCATCAAGTTGAATGCGTCACCATTTCGTTTCAAACTCGTGTGTCTCCTCATGAATAGCTTCAATTAACAAATCAATCGACAATTTTTATGACATTTTAATATAATCTTCAGTGATTTTTGCGGTAAAAAATTACAACCCTCAGGTTGATTTATTGATCAAACAATTGCATCAGTTCGATTATTTTTTCTTCATACGTCAGAAAAGTTCCAGAGAATGATGCATGATTATTTGGTGATGTAAATTATATCGAAATTTAATGAACCATATCAGCGATTACTAGTCCTGAAACCCCCGATCTTGAGCTTATTACGATCAAAATACAAACATTCATCCACTATCGCGACAATTAACGAGTGATAAGAACAGAACGGACAGTCTGGCACCAACGAAACATGCACTTTGTAGTCATTAATGGTAAGCATGAATGGCATATAATTTTTATCCACCACTTGATGATTCTATAAATAATTCATGGAAATTAATAACAATATCGAGATAACGATAATCGGCCTGACAGTTTTTTAACGACCCAATGGCAAAGAGTTGCGAATGTGGATTAACAATAATTCAACAAGATAAGAGCTGCACACGTCATTGAATTGCGAGAGATTTTTTTTTAATGTACGTGAATCGATGGATTAGGAAATTGAATGAGATTTTTTTTTTTAATGCCCAATTGTATAGGGCAATCACACATGCCGAACACCTGCCTTCGGCGAACAGGAATTCCTTGGTTTTTGTATTCATGAATGCGATGAGATAAAATTGAAAGGCTCCAACTTACGATTGTTATTGTAACGGTTTCTTCCTTGAATCAATAAATATATGATAATATCAATTGTTTAAAATATATAAATAAAAATTTTAATTCATTTGAAGAGTCGAACAGAATTAATTCTCGCGGCTTTATCCACAAATGTTACGTCTATGGATTTATAATAATTCAGAATATTTTATAATTAATGGAAAATTATTCTAATTGCAGATCCAGAAATTTTGAAGGATTTCTCTTTCAATAATTCGGCGTTTTTTGTAATAAAGACTTAGTTAATTAGTTCAGAGGAAATTAGTAATTCGGAATGTTTAAAGTTATTGATCTGCGGTAATGGGGGAAATAGAGAGATAAATATTTTTGACTTACGTAAATTGATTAACAATTTTTTTCGCACTATTTTTATCAGATTTTCGGCGTCGTAACAGTCGCGATGACGATGTAACACATGTCCGTACGGAATGACTTAACGGTTGCGACTGGTTTGAGACTTTTTATTCTCGGCTCAAAAGTCGCGAGACCGGCAGGAGGAGACACTATCTCTTTCAAAAATATAATCCGGGGCCCTTGAAGATTCACGAAAATTCTGGAAAGCTATAATGTTCCCTTGACCTAATTACCCACGAAATTTATAATGAATTATTCATTAAAAAATACTTTGTGCGTTAATAGATTTATAATTATTTCAATCAACTGCTGCGAATTTCATGGAAAATAAATTTTAATGTTTACAACTGTAATATACAATGCATTAAAAATAATCAGTAATGATTAGCGATTATAGTTATTAACAATTAACGGTGTGAACACTGATCGAAATACGATACTGAGTGATACAGAATGTTAAAATGTTATTGTATTCGATTACTCGGCGTCCACTTGCAAAACACCTGTTGACGTTTTAATAATTCCAATTATATCATTTTATTTTCGTTTAATCGTACAATCCTACAACAAATTATAATTTACATATGGATGCGTTCTAATTTCGTTTACTCCGAGAATAAAAACTATTTTCTGAGCTTCGAATCTGTCGTACATATTTTTCATCCATCGAAAAATATCTAAATCAGACAACCGAAACGAAGTGCCAACGAGTGATTCAAACTGATTGATTAACCTGTGAATCGATCAATCAAAGAATATCGTGAAGTGAACTGAAGTTCAGATATGAGTTCTTAAAGTGGATGTTGAATTAATGCTTTGATTATTGGGAGAGCAATTAATTAAATTATATCTACCAGGTATTTGTGACTTTTGTCATCAAAATTCAGTAGAAAAATCTGAAACCGATAGAATTATAACACGACAGCTTCAAATTATTCTATTCAATTCATTGATACGTGACGACGAGCTTTTCCCTTTATTTTTTCGATGCAAGTCACAAAATATCGATCAAAATATCATTACAAGGATTATAGAAATTCTCAGAGATACGCTATGCATAATTTTTGACGTGAGAGAGTAAAAAAATTTGATAATTGCAATTCTATCCTTAAATCACAGCCTGACGACCTCGACAGGTGAGCTGGGGGCCCCTTTTCGCGACCTAATACTAGACCTCTGGATCATGCTGCTCCTGAAAGCTTCTCCACGAAGTGATGTCCCAAAATTGCTCCTCAAGCTGCCAGTCCTGTAGTGTCTGATGATTTCAGGTCTCTGTTTCTCATCCTCCGCTTTCCTAAAGAGAGCGCACCATTGAAAAATCAAATTTATATCCGACCACGCAAAAAAAAAAGAATTCCGTTACTCACTTCATCAAACAAGGCATGTCCCACAATCCCTGCTCCTTCCCGAACTCCTCCCCATCCTGGAGAGTCTGTGGCAAGTCCTTATCAAGAGTCTCGGGTAGCAATAACGCAAGAATTCCCCCAACAATACCAAAAACCCCAAGAAGTAAAAGCGGAAGAATAGGTGAGATAATGGCGATGTAAACGACGAATGGCGCTGCTATACTAGCAACATATCCCATGGTATGGATGAGGGCAACACCCTGAGCCCTCACCACCGTCGGCAGCAATTCTGCTGCATACTGCAGTCCAATATTGTACGATATGTTGACGCAGAATCTACCCAGAATCGCAAGCGATGCTGCATACATGTCTAGAGATTTCGATTAAGAAATAGAATTCAGCAATTTTTTTTTTACATTTTTTAAAAAATTTTATTTTTTTTTATAAAAAAATTTTTTTTTTATATTAATTTTTATTGGAATGCGTTGAGAAGTGGGGACTCACTATTTGTGACAGCACAGGCCCAGATACTGAATATTCCAGAAACAACCATTGAGCCACACGCAAGCCACCTGCGTCCCCATCGATCAAGGACTAGTGTCAATAACGTGTCCGCAGGTAATTCAGTAGCTGCTGCTATTGTAAATGTCACGAAAACGTTTAAGCCCAGGTTGTCGACGTTACGCACGTGACCGTCGAACACGAGGGATATTGCCATCCTGTGGAAAGAAGAAATTAATCAAATTCAGTCAACATCCCCGGAAAGACTGCTCGCGAAAATTCAAACAGCGAATTCTCAGCTAAAAAACAAGGGAAACGACGCCAGAATGGTTTTATAAAATTGTTCACATTCCAAGAACAAAATGAGACTAATTTCCAGTCATTAATCGATAATGAGTCATTTTAATCATCACTTAAAGGTGCGAGGTGGAGACCCGCCGTGTGGGTGGCGCCATCTTGGAGGGGGTGTTCCTAAAGTGACGTATTGTTGCCGAAATCAGGGACTTTGATATGGAATAAATATGAAAAAGGAGAAGAAAATTGTAGTCGTAATTAGGGAATTGATACTAACCAAATGATAATTAATAAAATAGTAATTCTACGGAGTCGCGGGCTCTTGAACAGATCAATGACTGAATATCCGTTCTCAGCTTCCTCCGCCTTTCTAGCTCTCTCGCAGCTTTCCTAGAATAAAATCAATGGCTGTGAATCAAGATTTATTGAGTCATTAGGATAATTACCTTGAAACGTCGATACACGCTGGCGGGTACTCTGGTGCCGTTGATTCTCTCAAACTTCTTCAAGATCTCAACGGCCTTGTCGACTTGACCCATACTAACTAACCATCTGGCGCTCTCTGGTACAAACCAGGGTGTTGCAATTGCCAGTAACAGTGGTAATGATGTTGCTATGCAAGTCATTCGCCAGTCAGCGAGAAAATATGCAATCCAGGGGAGAATGCATGCCGCGAATGTGAAGAACAAAGCTATCGACATATTCGCTACGAATGTTCGCCATTTTGGTCCCACATATTCAAGAACTGAGAAAAAAAATGTTTTTTTTAAATAAATTTTAATTCTATATTTTTTTTATTTAAAAAAATGTTTAATCGGATTTTTTAAAGAATATTGCTATGTGTATTGGAATTATTTGAAAAATTATATATATATATATATTTGTATATACATGAAAAATTTTCAATTGAATTCTTTTTTAATTACTTTTTTTGTGTTTTTAAATAAACATCACTGTTTTGAAGAAATATGATTTTATAGAATAATTATCTTTGTGGAAACTCAGAAGGGCCTTGAATTAATCTTTGAACCTGTCAGAGACAGAACAATAACCAAAAGATTAATCTGAGAACCGTTAATTGTCAGAAGGTCGCCAGAACCGCCGCGGGTATTTATTTTTCACAATTCCATTGTGAAATCCATCCAATTAAGATAATGATGGAAAAATGACTAGACGATACGTCACATCGACGCATCATCAGTACCGGGAAAGGATGAATTACGGTTCATTCACTCTCAATGCATTACGCAAATTTCATTGGACTTGTCGATGAGACAATCAGTTGCTGATGAAAAAATAATAAAATGTTTGCGCAACTAGAAAAAATTATTTCAAAGAAGAGGATTATTCGGTTATTTGATAATTTAAGAATTGCAATTGTTAATTATTTTGCAGAGCGAACTAGGGGAAAATCCCAAGGACTTTGAAAGAAATCTTTAATGTTTATATTCTGGGTAATTAGTTATCGAATAATTGCTGCTGTTATGAATTATTCGTTCATGTCGTTTGCAATGGGAAATATTTTCACATGACAATTCGTTTCGTGCACGTGCGCTCGTTAAATTGTAACGAGGAAATTGGATATGGAAGAGTGTCGAGTTGTTCTCCACTGTCACACGGGTATAATTATACAGTATCGCCAATTGTAAATGTGTAAATAAATAATGAAAACGTGAAAAAAATATCGATAATTATTTAATTGCTTGTCCATTTGATTCCAGAGGAGACAATTAAAATACTGGATAAATGAATAAACTCGTTAGATTTTCCCCTATCAATTATTATCAATCAAGTAATCAACAGCTGAAAGTCCAATGACCCCGTTTTGATCTCGTAAAAGTCAACAATTTCAAGATGCAGTATTGGATAAAGCAGATAATCTCGTGGTTAATGAGTTGACGACCCTGACTATGACAGGTACCATGAGCTAATGACGAGAGAATAGAAAAAATGATCATTGAGATTAAAAAAATGAGGAAAGGAGAGTGAAGAAACCAATTGGATCGGAAAGACTTTGGGTGTGACCTTCACTTCCTCTCGATTCGAATGTCGCCGGAACTGGAGAAGGCGCTATTTTAATGTACAAGTACAATTGCAGGTGAACACTAATCGTACAAGTGTGACGGTCTTTTTTCCCTTCCTCAACTATCCCCAAGGTCGCTGTCACCGCCTACATTCGCAGGTTTTTTTCATTTGCAATTGTCTTTTTTTTTTAAATTCCCGAAAAATTCCCGAAAAATTCCCGAAAAATTCCCGAAAAATTGCTATTCACCCATTTTACGTAATTTTCCATAAATTCTCGTCCAGATTCGAATTACAATTGTAACCGCAATTGAAATCCATGATTTATAGAAATTAAATGATTAGATGTTAATGCAAAAAATAATTTAAAAAGGTAATTTAATTATTGAGGAGATATTTTGGTGGTGAATTGATGATTTTAATTACCTAGGATGTACATCATTGTGAAGCAATTATCGAAGGCGAATCCCACGAAAAATCGGCAGAGGGTGAAGAGCCAGAAATTGGTGGCGAGTGCTGTGAAGCATCCGGCAATGCAGCCGACAATGTTGCATCCAACAAGTGCGGGAATTCTTCCATATCTGTCAGCTATGAATCCGAATATCAATCCACCAAAAATTGCACCCACGAAGAAAATACTTTGAGAGATAGTGGGCAATGCCGCCTGCTCGCAGACCCAATCGTACTTAAAAAAGAAAGGAATCAATATTAAAAATAAAAAATTATCATGAATTTTCATGAATTTCCATAACCTGTACCGACTAATTTTAATATTAAATAAATATAAATTTATAAATATTATTATTACACTTGCAATTGGAGAAATCATAAATAAATATGAAATCTCAGTGGAATTGTTAATTGCGAATAAATAAATCAATTAAGAAAATCAATAATATTCTTTAACTGTCAGACGGAATAAATAATTTGGTGACATTTTTTAATCGAATATAATAATATAATTAAAATATAATTAAATAATAAAATATAATTAAAAATTCAGAGGAATTGTGACTGAAGTCATTTGTTGCAGCAATAATATTTTTAATTTGTTGGACAAATAAAAATTTTTCAATTATCAGGATTTACCTGAGATGCAACTGTTTCGTACGGTACATCGGTATAATTGTACTCCCATCCAAATTGGCATTTTTGCGTCGGCCATGATGGATCGGCAATTAAAATTGTTCTGTTCGCCAACAATTCCGTGAAATTAACACTGTACATGAAGCATTTTGAAAAGCCCAAGGAACTCGCCTCATCGCCATCACGTGCTGGTGGTATTGTCAGCGCAATTCTGTAATTGAATTCATCGTGAATACAAAATTCATCGACATTCATGTCCTTATCCAATCGGTTCTTCCATATTTAAATTAGAAAGGAATGATCGGTATCGATGATGATTGCAATTTAATTGATTCCTCATTTATCCTCATCAATCCTTTTTTCCCATCGTGTCCTTGACTTTTTAAAATTATCACGCAATTGACTAATTGATTAGCAATTAATTACACTCCCCCGATTTTTCACTGGACTCCTTCAGGCGCGCCTTTGCATTCCATTTCATAAAACAAATCGCAGAAGAATGCCAACAATAATGGGAAAACAATAACAAATTCCTTTACAACTCAGGAATTTCTTATCAATTAAATTGTTATCAATTTGCGGAAAAATTATCGAATTATTATGTTTTCCAAATATTCACATAAATATTCAACCATTTTAATTAATATCAATAAACATTCACGATCCCATCAATTTACATTATTCAAATTTACATAATTATTAATTATTCAGTAAAAAATGCAATTAATAATGACATCGATCGTCTGATTTTTTTTCGATTGATTAAATGTGGAATTTAAAGCGATAATTCTTGAAATTAATTAAAAATTGGAGGGGGCGGTAATTGCGGGGAATCTTCATGATATTTTTTTTTAATGCACTCGACATGAAATTACTCGACATTAAACGTAACACTTGATGTCGAAATACGCGTGAACGCATTTTTTTGCCTTCACGCTCTCATTGGTTATGCGAAGGTTTTGCAGAGGCGATTATTCAATTGAAGACAAAGAAAATCAATTTTCGTACATCGACTGACTGACATGCGTCCACGTCAGTGCGGTAATTAGATTTTTAATTATTACTGAGGTATCAGTGGTTTCTCGGAGAATTTTTTCTCAATGGAAATGACGAGAAAAAAAATACACGGGGTACAGAGGAATGTGGAAAATCATTGCGGTATTAATAGTTTCTTGAACTTTCATTCATTATCGCAAGGATTGCTTAAGGAATTTGTAATTTATGCTGAATATCAATGAAATAATTTTTTTTTTGTCGCAAAATCAAGTCCGCGGAGGAAAACGAAAAAGGCTGCAGTCCGCATCTTCAGTTTTTGAGGAATACCTTGAAATCCGAGAGAGATAACGAATTTTTTGGTATAACCTTTTTTGAAGCCTGAAATGACAGCTATGAAAAAGGTATCCATGAAAATTTCGGTATCTGTCTTAGATTCCGAGGAATTTGTTTGATTATTCAGGAGTTATTGAAATTTTGTGAATTAATTGATTGGTAAATCATCGATTTATCAATCAATCATTGACGGATCTTTTTTTGTCTTGTCTTCAGGAAAATGTCATGGGATTTTGCATTGCGTTTGAAATATTCATTCAGAATTCAAGGTGACATTTCGTTGATTCGATAAAAACACGATAATTTTCACACTCGACTATTTGAAATTCCGTATTTATCAGTTTACTCTAGAAATTGCGGTAATCTGACATTTAACCGGTACCAATGGCGAGGAAAATTCATGGGGCGATGGTGAAAAGTTCAGGAGGAATAAATAGAAACTATTTATAGCTCCTGAATTTCCACGGGTCGCAAAATCTGCAAGGGCGCTAGTCCGTAAATTCAAAAGAATCAATAAATTTTTTGAATTTCCCTCCATTAGCCCTTGGGAATCCCAAAAAAATCTGATGATATAATGATATATTTAATATCGAGAAAAAGGACCTCAGAGATTTTCTTGAGAGAAATTCTCGTAATCACCTTGGCCCGAGTAATTTTTCATATTTTTATTATTTATCAACATATAAAACTCCGTAACACATACACGAGCATTTTCCTTCATTAAAAACCAATATCAACGTCCACCACAGCGTAAGTAAATTGCCAATAAAATTAGCATGCAAGTGAAGCAAGGCGAAGTACAAAAAAGAAAATCAATAAGTGTTATAAAAATATCCATCAGGGGTTATCACTGTGAGAGGACTTTCCAAGTTCAGATTATTAAATAAAAAAAAAGTCATTGTTCCGGCAATGATAACTCCGATCAATGAAGTAAATTTTGCATTCCAGCTCTTCCATTCCGCCTAATTAATCTCTGTAATTGTGATTATTTAGGATACAAACGCGTGTCAACTACTGGATTAATTAATTGTTGACGTGCGGTAGAATAACGCATATTTCTGGAAAACTCATCGAGATGTTTTAATTGTTCTTAATTTGTCCTTGAGATCTGCTTTTTTTCAAGACCATTTTGTTTTCGTATGTTTTGAAATTGAAATAGATAATTAATTGACACGACAAAAATTCAAAAAATCATTTTTTATAATTTAATTATGCGAGATGAAAAAAAAATCATGCAAATGCACTTTCACAGGTGAAAATCCGCGGATTTCTAGTAATTAACCAGCGAAATCGACGGCTTGAATTTCAACTGGCAATTAATTCCGACCGATCGATGACTCGTCATCATCAATCCACAAAATCGACCCCTGGAGTTCTATATCCCAAGGTGCGCTGATACCTGATCGACAAATTCATCAGGAGATTAAATCGGCTATGGAGATTGTTATCGGTATTAATCAGTAGCGAATCATCTCCCTTAATCATCTCACCTCTGCTGATCCGTGAGATTCTCAAGACCAGGCACCCGACACCAGTGATCAGCTGGTACCAGAGTGATAAATATCTGACTGAAGTAGACCCAAGCGACGAAAAAAGCAAAAGGTACCATGAGGACGAAGAGAATCTTCTGGTAGAGTCCAAACTCCCCAACATAAGGAAGAAGATCATCAAAGTCCATGTCATTGCCGTCATCCTTTCCCTTTTTTTCCACTTTCTCCACCTGATCCTGAGTCAATCCCTTGGAGCCATTGGGATTCTCCTTGAGGACCTCGTTGCCCTCCTTGGGGCACTCCATTATTTAATCTGATTCTTTTGGACTTGAGTTCTTTTTTGGAATTTGAGTTCTTATCCGGAGGCTTTCACTTCACTTGGACTCTCACTCTTTTCACCGACTTCCATCTCACTTTTTTAAAATTTTTTTATGATTTGTTGACTGATTGATGCTGATGAATTATGACTCCCTAACTCCACTGCTTCGGCTCGACTCGTGTTCACTCTTTATCGGCACCGGCACTAGGTGATTTTCCCCCACCTATTTTTTTTTTCTCGTCAATATGAAAGAGAATTCAATGTTTTACGGGGATTTATCGGAGGTGAGAAGTTCATTGGCACAAATTGTCCAATCACTTTTGCTTCTTTGGATTCGAAAAAAAAAATCTTAACTTTTAATTCTCATCATATTCGTCATTTTTTATTTAAACATGAGGAAATTGGAAAATGGAAAAAAATCTGATGAGATTATAGAAAATATAAATATTATAAATATTTTTAATTTCTACTTAAAGTCTATTGTTTATTAATTTCAGTATTTTTCTTTCAATTTTTCTATAACCCTCTGGAATTTTCTGCCGGGAAATTCCTTTCCCCTTTTTTATGAATATTTGTAATTACATTTGTTATGGTTTATTTAAAGAGACAAGTGAGCGGAAATTTATTCTGAATTTTCAGCGACAAGATGTCAGCGGAATTTTCCATCAAAAATTGATGCAACATTTTTTTTAATACTCTGAGATAATATTGTAGACGACAGTTGAAATAGTTTTGCTTTGTTCACACGTACGTCGAGTTATAAAACCCGGAAAATTGATGTTAAAAATATTACGAGAGTGAATCCTGAGGATTTTTTCATCTTCATGTATTATTACGAAATTAAACAGCGATTTCAATTAGGGGAAATCATTAATCGTTCAGTCTGCCAATTGTTTGCAGTAATTAATAGTAATAATTGAAGGAGATGTTAAAAATAGATCGTCAGACTAACGACGATGATAAAATTGATAAAACTATTTACTTGTCCTGAAAATAATGGAGAATATTATCACGGGGTAAATGGTTACCTGTTAATCTATTGATTATCAGATCAATAATTGTGTGGTGAAGGATCAATTGTTGTTATCTTTCCGGGAGACGAATTCCCGAGAAAAAAAAAAAGATTTTCCGGGAACGTCAGTGTCATTTACACTTGAGGAATTGCTCGGCATTAAAATTAATTGACCTTGATTAACTTCACTTCCCATTGCAATTAAAAACGCGAAACTGAGGAATATTTTTTTTATAGATCTTCATCTCTCTTTGGTCATTAATGGAAAATTATTTCTACTGATTGATTGAATGCACCCCACATGGGATTAATGAGTAATTGAATCACTTCCTTGCAATTATTTGTTTCAATAAAATGAGGAAAAAATAAGGTCTTGATCGCAGAATGTCATGTGTTCAACAGAAAAATAAATAATTGAAAAATGTAATTAAAGGGAGAATTTAATCGCAAGGGAAAATTTAGTTGGATATTAATTAATTGAGGATTTGAAAAATTGGGAATTAATCGAATGCAATTTTGACAATTAAAAATTTCCGGATGTTGATTTTCGAAAAAGTTTGTTGACACCTCTGTATTCCTAAATTGTCAGAAATTTTTAATTAACAGTTTGCGCTAATTGGAATAGAAAAAACGGCAATTACCCGATCGAAGGAATTTATGAAATTTTTTATTTCCGATTGAACTTGAGATCGACGAATGATTTATATCCACGACAATCGGGTCAATGTAACGTATGAAATAAAATTGATTAAAACGGAGGGAATAAAAAATAAATTTAAGAAATAACGGAATTAATTGTATTAATGTGACAATTCAATGGCAGAATCAGTAAATATACTGCAAAATGGCCTCCAGACTTCAATTTACAATAGTCTTAGCGTCTAGTCATTGAAAGAAAAATCTGGTAGACAGATTCTCCTCTGATCCGCGCTGTAAAATTTTATTTAACAAAAAGTTATGCAAACGGAAGAATGCGCGTAACAGTCGAGATAATTGAACCGTATATCGTATAATTCCGATAGCCCGATTGTCAGGGGAACAATAAACAAAATGTATTCACTCAATAAACAATGACTTCTGGATTTTTAACAGAAATTCCGAAGATCTCCGGTTATCAAGGATTGATTTTTTATTGAGGAATGAATGAGTTTCGCTGAAAATCACTGGGCATTCGTGATTGTTAATAAAAATGGAATATGTTCATGAGTGAACATTGGGAACGTGAGAGTCAGGGGATCAATTGTGGAAACTGTCTTCCGTTTTCAGATTTCAATTGCCTAGGCTATTAGGTGATTCAATATCCTTGCGAAGATGGAAATTTTCTTGTTTTGTCATTGCAAATTATTAAGAGAAATAAAATACCTAGGATAGTGTAAAAATAATTGTAATTATAAGAGAAAAGATGAACAATTCATTTCGGAATTTTTTATTTAATAAATTTCAGGGGATTAATAATTTTTATCAGAAAGAGATGAATCCTCTCGAATTCTCGCGGGGAATGGAATTCTACGAGATCTCAATTAATCAATTACCTAATTAATCATTAATTAAATATTAATCCACCCAAAAAAGAAAAATAAAAAAAATTTAATTAAAAAAACATATATATCGATGCAGAATATTAACAATCGAATATTAATATATCGATATTATGAGGTATCGATAATATATCGACCAGATCGACCCCTCATTCATCACATCGATATATATAACCAGAAAAATCAAAGTTTTGGTTTAAAAAAAGAGAAAAAAAAGAAAAAAATGGGTACAATCGAAATATCGAGGAAAAATATCGGTTTGAATGATTGAAAATCAAGTCTGAATATATCGATATCTCGAACAGTCGATAAGGTATCAAGATTCCTATTCTGTCGTGGCAGACAGAACCCAATGTTAAACAATCGTTCGAGCATTCAATTGTTGCTAAACAATAGCACGCAACCATCCGAATTGTTTAATCAATACAAAAATAAGAGGTAATTTCATTTGAAAATCAACTGACATTTCAACCTGAGGACTTTCTTTGCTTTCTTCCCGCCTTCTGCACTACGAGGTTAGGTTTCTTTGTTGTTATTTCCAAAATAATGATTGCAATACGTACATTATGACGTTTTATCTGAAAAACTGATGGACAACGAGTCAAATGCCCGAATCATTGATTTTTATTTTCGTTTATTTATCGCAGACTGCAGAGCCCTGATTAATCATTTCTTGAATATAATCAGGTGCAAACGATGGAAAACATGACGAATTCCAATCCACAGATTTGTCCGATACTCATAATTCCCAAAGCTGAGGAATCTTTGGGAATTGGAAGAGAATTATTAATTGGTCCAGGTAAATATCATTTTTTTTCAATCTCCACTCAGATTTTTCATTCTCCCTCAACTAATTTATTCACCACACAGATAAATCATACTTTTAACAATTAATTACATATTCACATTTACTAAATACTAATTAATCAATTTGATTATTTATCAGTGAAGCCTTTAAGACCTGGAAAAAGGAGGAGGCCAAAGAAATTTTACAAACCAGTCTGGAAGTCATCATGGAGCATTTCAGAAAGGGAAGCTGACAACACGTCAACCCCAGGAGTTGAGAGAAATAATTTGTTCCTCGACGACAACGACTCAGAGGCGTGGAATGGGGATATTAACGATGGAGTGATCGATACCTTCGACTTCCTGCCAGAGCCGTCACCAAAAAACCGACCACCAACTCCAGAGCCCCTAGACAGTTATGGCTCCTCAAAAATTCACGGGAGAGAAAAACCCCCAGGACCCTGGGAGAACGACAGTATCCCCTTGCCCAGGCCCCATTGTCGCATGTGCAGGCAAATTTTCGATTCACTATCCTACGATCCAACGAGTCCCTCCCTGAAATGCCCATTCGAGTGTTACGTAAGATTCTCCAGTTTTGAGTCCCTCCAAAGACACGTAACATACGTTCACGTCACGTGCAGATGCACAAAAGAAGATCTCTACGGAGACGTCATCAACTGCAGTGGCTACCCCAGGAAAGACTACAGCTGTCCAATGTGCAGTGAGAAGTTCTCCTTGTACAGACCCCTGGAGCAACATCTGTACAGCATCCACAAGATTCCGAATATTTCGGAGATAAATCGAAGAGATTTGCCCGCTTGCTACGCAACAGTCCCTGAGAATCTGATCGCCAGGCGTTGGCCGAAATCCTGCAGTACTCGCATGTCGAGAGGATTTGTCTGTGATTTTTGCGCCATTAAATTTCCTTCTGTCAAGGAATTATTTCGGCACTTCAACAAGGGCCACACGAACTCGATAAGACGAGTACCAACAAGTATTTCACGATTAAAATTTCACATGAAGCATCAGAAAACGAAAGGTCTATCTCTCCCAGACCAATGGCCCCTCAGTAAATTGAGTTCAAATGAAAAATCAAAGAGAAGATTAACTGCAGAAATGAAAAAACCCTCTGCCACTGGAGATTCTGATGACTGTGAAGCAGCAATGGATGATTACCTCCTTCAGATTAAAAATAATCAGGAGAAAGTGAAAGAATTTACACCTGGGGATTCGCCCGAGGATTATGAAGAGTACGAATTTCTGGAGATGGAAATTCCAGAGGAAGCTCCAAGTTCCACTAAAGATTTTCCAGAGCCTGAAGAATCCTTGGCATCTCCTGAACTCCCAAAGGACTCCGATTCACTGTTGAGAAATCTTCTGACCCCAGACGTCACCTCGACGGACTCCACAGCTTCTGAGGAGTCAAAATCTGTCCCCACCCTTAAGAAACCCCCCAAGATCATACAAGACTCCAGAAATTTCGACCTGGAGACATCTCTGTACCTGGAGAAGCTCCAGAAGGACCACAAATCCCTCGTCACTACTGTATCACGTATCGAGGTGAAAAAGAATTCAGTAAAAGACGTGGAAAGACAAACCATCAGTAAAATACTTCCCATTCCATCAAAACTCCAGGAACGGGATCCCAAAAAAAATCCCTCGCGTAATAAATCGAAGGGAAAATCCTTGAGATCCTGTCCTAGATGCAAGAAAGTCTTCAACACCGTGGGAGATCTGGCGAAGCATCTGAGTCTCATCCAGAAAATCAACGAGAGCTCTCCAGAGGCTTTATCCCCCGTCAGGGAAGTCTTGAGTTGTCCTGAGTGTCTTAAACCCTTCAGAAGCCAGAATATTCTCCTCACTCATAAATATCTCGTCCATCGGGACGATTCAGGGATTCATATCTGCGACAACTGCTGCAAAATCTTGACTTCCATTTCCATGGTGAACAATCACCTCTGCATCACTGCAACATCTTTCACCTGCAGAGGATGCAACCAAGTATTCAAGAGTTCAGAGGAGCTCCTGTTCCACAATCAAAAAAATCACCTCGAGGATTCAGGAACCCATGCCTGTCCAGCTTGTCAGAAAAATTTCCTCACGAAATCCATGATGAATCGTCACATCCTGGAAAATTGCGATGTCCAGGGGAGCGATGATGGTGAAAACAATAACAACGACAGGGATGCCGACAGAAATTGGATGGACGACGTGAAATCCCATCGCTGCGACGTATGCCAGAGCCTCTGGGAGACTTCTGACGAGTTGATTCAGCACTTGGAGACAATCCACGACCTGAAGTCCTGCAGATTGTGCTCTCGGTGGGTGCACAGTCACCAAATCCTCAATCATGTCATGAGTCATGTTCTTGATAGGGAAGAAGATGGAGGAAAAGGTGGAGGGACTGGTGGAGATATCAAAGATGGAACTAGGAGATTTATTGCGGAGTACAGTAAAGACTTCGTCACGTCTGTTCTTCAATACTCCAGGTACCGACTTGAGGAATCTGGTGGTGTTCTCTGCTCCCAGTGTCAACAGAGGTTTGATAATTCCCATACCTATAAGTGCCATTATGTAGAGACTCACGATTTATTCTGCGTTCTGTGTAATCGTCGGTTCGGTGATGTCTTGGAGGCCTTTGAGCATAAAAATTCGGTTCATCAGTCTGCGGAGATTTATATGTGGGTTGCAGATAAAATTTTGCTGGCCCTCGCTGAAACTGGAGAGGTTTGCGGCTGGCTAGGGAAAAAATTTAAAAAAACCATTTTAATTCGTGATTTGGAGGAGAAGGTGAAGAATATTCATAGGGCCAATCGGGATTCTAGAGAGGGTCAGGGGGGAGATAAAAATTTTCGGATTGTCGATGGAGGGGTTGTAAATTCGAGGAAAGCTGCGGGCTGAGTGCATTTTTTCAAAAAGCAATTATTCGTTTCTTTAGAGATTGTATTGGATATTTTTTTATTTCTTGCGAATGTCGAATTATTTTGTCATGGAAGTTTCTTTTGATAATCTATTTTATGATATTAGCCATTTGCAATGGCCAGAGTGTAAATACCGCAGATATAGTAAATTACAAAATATAAGATTATGTTTCTTCTTAAGAAAAACGGCCTCAGTCCCAAGGATTAGGACTGGATGAAATCGTTCTTATTTGGTTGGGGAGGGTCTTGATGATAAGATTTTATCAACGAATCAGGGCCCCCAGTATCTGTCAGTCTGTCTCGCTATTTGATAAGCTATTTTTATATCTTTGATATTAAAGTTTTTGAAGTCTACGGAGTGCATCCGATGAAGAAAGTGTCTGAAGTCGAAGGAGAATAAATGAGTGATAATGATAAATTTTTTATTTTTATTATTGCAATCTCTGATGATGCAAAATCCTAAATCCTCCAACACTGCCAAAATTTCAGTGAATACCAATTTCCTAACGCAGAAAATAACATTCACCCTGTCGACTGATCCCTTTGACAGCGAGACTGCTACTGAGGCAATTACTTAGTAAATTAATTAGTCGGTTGACAGGACGACACCTTCATTCCGTGTGGCGCCCTCCCTCTCTTGGGGTGCAGTACTACGATGCCTCTGGGGTCAATCAAACCTCCAGACCTGAACCTCTACTTTAGTCAATCCTCTTTAGTCCCACTCCTCTCGGTGGACCGTGCAGATCTGTCCGTTGTGTCTCTTCTGTCTCGGTCACAAAACAATTCTTAATCATCATCATCAATTGTCAATTGAACACTTACTAAAATGGCATCCAGTGATTGTGGAACGAAGAAACAAAAATTGAGCAACTCGTCGAGTTTAGTTTGTAATGGAACATCTCTCACCAATGGTCATGGAACTAAGACATTGTCAATTGTTCATCCTGAAATGGGTTTTTATTGTTTCGATGTTTTGTATCATCAGCTGCATCAGCTTGATCCACCAAAATCACCTGCCTTCAGCAACGAAGCATTGTAAGATCTTTACCATTTTCCCAATAAAAAAACAAGCAACCCCCGAAACTGTGAGATATCTCCTGAGCCAACGATACGATTTTCATAAATCTTATTTCATTCGACACCTCGGAAAGTTACCTTTGAAATAAAAGAAAACACCAATAATTTTCACTCAGCCGTTCTTGAGTTATTAAATAAAGAATCGAATAAATTTGAATTCTTAAAAAAAAAATCTCATGTCTCAAAATGTTCCTTATCTCTGTAACGAACACTGAGATTTCAAAGAATAAAATTTCGTTTTAAAGCCGTTGAAATTATCTTGAAAATGAAAAAAAAATGGCAATTTTTCACTCAGCTGATATCGAGCTATTTGAAATCCAGCGAGAAACGTTCCTTCTGGGCTTTCTCTTTATTCCATTGTTATTCTTTATTTCCAGGAAATTCTTAGGAGACTTCTCGCTTATCTCATCACTATTGACAATCTTTCTTTATTAATCCTTTGTTTGTCTGTTGCGTTTTCACTTTCTTACCGCCATCTTTATCTCTGTCTCGTGTTAGAACGAAGACGACATCTGCATCCCCACGTCCCTGAATTTTCCTTTGTATGAATTTTTTTCAATTGTATGACGTCACTTTTCCATATTTGGATAATGAGAGCAAGTATTCATTACATGTTCCTATGAGGTGGGGGTAGTTTCGCGAGGTGTTTTTTCTTTACCAATAATTTATTAAATTACTGCGCTTTTAAAAGCGATTGTTTTGATAAAATTATTGAGCAAATAATTTATGCAAATAATTTATGCAAATCATTTCCAGCCCTTTATTTGTGACATGGACAATCGGAAAAGACATGAGGTTGAGGGGTTGCATTGGAACGTTTAATGCAATGCAATTGCATGCAGGACTCAGGGAATACGCAGCTACGAGGTAAATTATTACAGAAACTGTCAACTGACGAGAAAAGCCTCAGAGGACTTTTCCGTAGCCAATGAAATTCTCGACAAACAAGATGTTATGTAATTTTTTCGTAAAACCAATAGATCCCGAGATTATCCGTTGTTTAACAAAATTGAAAAAATTTGGTTTTGCATTTTATAATGATTTATTTGTTCCAGTGCTTTTAAGGACTCCCGGTTCAACCCGATAACTCGAGACGAGCTTCCCCGATTACACGTAAGTGTCTCGATTCTTCGGCACTTCGAGGATGGCGTTGATTACTTAGACTGGGAATTGGGAACTCACGGTATTCTCATTGAATTCCACAACGAGAAAGGCAATAAAAGAACTGCTACGTACCTGCCCGATGTTGCTGAGGAGCAAGGTAATTATTTCCCGGATATTCCATTAATTAATTATAATTCATTATCTTCGATTTTTTTTTCTGCTGTCCAGGATGGGACCAGATACAGACAATAGATTCTCTCCTGCATAAAGGTGGATTTAAAGGAATAGTAACACCAGAAATTCGTCGTAGTTTGAAATTAAAACGTTACCAATGTGAAAAAATAACAGTGAGCTATCAGGAGTACATGACCCACTGGCAGAGCCGCAGGTGCTAGCAAATGTCCAATAAATACTTTGGCATCGGTGTACGTTACAATAATCCATTAAATTCAATTGAAACGAGACTGGACTGTCCTCTCGATTATTTTGGCTTAAATAATGGGGTGTCATGCAGGACTGAGTCCAGGGGACTTGAGGGGCAACTTCGTGTAATTTCATCACGCGATTATCCCTCGCGAGATTTTTATGAGTCGAGTCCACCTGATGAATATGCGGAAATTTCGAAAAGATTTCAATGCAAAAAATGACACTGGCAGCAATTATTGTTTACGACCTTTCGTTGGTTCAAGTGGTGCCTATATTCTTTACTCAGAATTCATGAATATTTTGGTGGGAGGATTCGAGGGTGATTAAAACGTTTCTAATTGCTCACGAAAAAATATCAAAATTCATTGACTCCGCTGAAAAATCGTAGGACATTTGAGAATATATTATCTGCTTCCCAACGGCTTCTGACTGCACGTGAAGTTTAATGATTGCAAATAGCGGAAATAACTTTCGATTAAATAAAGAAATAATAAATAAAATTCTCTAATCCACGATTTTTTTTTCAATCTTGGAAAGAATTTTATTGCGCGTTCTCTTCATTTTTCGAATGAATGTTTTTAGTTGAAATGTGTTGCTTGTTCACGTGCTAATTGTCTTAAGACTAATTAAACCCCTGAAAAATTCTGTTCAATTCTTCCCAGGGGATTAATGATTAATCATCAATCAAGAGAAATCATAAAAGAATTTAGCAATAAATGATTTGTGGATGTTCCTGGAGTCAATGCCAACGAATGGAGACAATTAATATAAATAAAACTCCATTTTGTACTTCGAGGATAAAAATTAGGGCCCAAGGTTCAGTCCAAATATTTGTAAGTAAATAAAAAAAGAATTTGGAATGTGGAATTAATCAATTCGATGGCATTGACCTCCGGGAATGGAATTGTCTGCACGTGAATTCGATAATTTTTGGAAGAAACTAATTAACAAAATAGTTCCCTTAAATGAAAAAAATGTATTCAGTAATATTTAACATAGGCGTTTTAAGATACTAACAAAGCGACGATCTCATTGTGATTATTTTATCATTGTGATAATCAATGATCATCACAATATGAAATACAGTTGCATCGAAATATATTGAGGCTCATTCCAGTGTGTGATTGATTAATTAATTAATCCAGAGTCCAAGCAATATTAATGGAGAACAAAAAAAATCAGGAAATATCTCCACAAATATAAAAAAATTATCAAACCACTGGCCTTTTTTAAATTAAATTATCAGAATTCTATCAAAAGTTATGGAAAGAATGTACTTCAACACGGCAAAATATATAGCCTCCTGAAAATTCAGAGAAAATTATCAATGAACTGAAATAATCAATTGGTTCTAATTGCCAATTTTTCTTAAGAAGAGAGTTGATAATTATTCAGTGAATTACGTGTGCAAATGCTTGACGTTGCAATCATAATTATAATTTCTCTCGCTTTTAATTAGAGAGATGATCCACCTGGAGTACCAGTGCTGGATTTAACTCACTGCCGATATATTCATTGTTGTACCTATATAACAATAAAGCAAAAGTTAATTTTGCTGAATTTTATGGAGAATAAAAAATGAAACAGTTGTATTTGGTGATTGATGTTGTTGATTCGGCTGTTCGTTACTTACTCCAATTTATTATTAGGGATTGCTTGAGATCTCCATTGATGCCACGAGTGTTGAAGCCTCAGTAATAAATCCAATTAACTGCCAATAAAAAATCGTGTAGTGGATAATTAGGTGGGGTATTGTTTAATTAATTAATAATAGAAAGAATACAATGTAATGAAGAAATGTTGATGATTATAGATGTGATGTATGTGTCGCCGTCACACAAGTGTAATTTCAAAGATAAATTGAATTTTTTATTGTTACTATCTCTTGAAAGTTCTTTTTAACGAATTATCAAAATTTTAAATATAAATATTTGAGTAATTTTGACAAATCTGTCCTGATGATTGAATAATTATTCAGACACAAACTTTCAGATAAATATCTCAAATTATTGTTGAACTCTTCTGTTTGCGATTTAATCTTTTCATAAATAATAAAACGGAATATTTCACTGAAAGAATTTGTAATCGTTCACGAGAATAACAAAATATATCAAATATATGATTAATAGCACCGTGTATCACAGTGAGTACAATAAAATGAAATTTTCATACTGAAAATTAAGATGTTATTTTTTACAATTAGGAAGCGATTTATTAATGATTTTTTCCATTAACGTAACGGAACGTTTGGGGTGTACAGTCTTGCGGTTTAATTTTGTTTCTCTAGTTGATTCCGATTTTTTTTTGCTTTCAATTCCGCCAATAGTTCTGCCTCTAGAGCGAACATCTGCAATTGAATGTTCAGGAGACTCTCTTTCTCCTTGTAGGAGATAAATGCAGATATGAATGCTTCAAATAATATTAGGGCGATGAATTTTTCTTTTCCAGCCTTTACGAACCTCCACCACAGCTTCAGGGTGCCTTTGTAGTCCCCCCAGTACGGTAATCTGTACGTGCCATGTCTCGTTGAGTACTGGAATTAAAATAATTAACAGCTTCACTGACGCGAGAATTAATTATTAATATTTACCATGAAATTTGCGAGGGGTGAGAGCATTATGGGATAGCAAACTCCAAATCCAACTTGGAGAGTCATTGCTCTCTGTTGCAGGCACAGGAGACACTTTGATTTATTAATATAAATGTCATGAGTGACAAACTGCAACAGAAAAATTAAAAAAATTATGACAACCCGTCAGACTCCGTAATTTTTCAAATAATTATCATACAATACAATGGGCCGCACTGATGATGACCGCAGGTGTCAATCCCATGGCAAAAGAGGTTGACAATTTTCCATATCTGTGCAATTTTAATTTTCTCCGGAAATGTTCATTGATTGTCAGACCTCCGATTGTAGCAGCGAGTCCCAGCAATGGAATTCCCAATCTGAAAGGCCAACTGCGAGGAAAATATAATTATTACCTGACAACAATCACAAATTAAAAGACAAATTGTTACTAGCAAAACAGGAATGATAAAAATACTTACACGTCAGTCATTTTGGGCCACGACCTGACAATCGTCCACTGATGCAAAATCGCTTCATTTTCATCCATAACAATCGCATCTTTTGGAAGTTCCTGGGGTGCTGATGATCTCAATGCCATTGTTGTAATTCAATAATAAACAATAAATATCCAACACCCGAGGTTATTGCATAATCACGCGCGCAGCCATATTGAAATTTGCGCGGCAATTGAAATTCAAAATGTCAATCCAAACTGTAAAATAAATTCTAAAAACAAAAAATTCCCTCAGTCAAATCAAAATCATCATTCCACAACTCGCTCTTCAATCATCAATCCCACGAAATTCCAAATTCCAAAAATAATTGATTTTCGCAAAATGTCAATTATTTATTTATTCAAAAAATCCCGCGTAAGCCCACGAGATGGCTCCACACGACGCAGCCAATAGGTGGCGGCGTCCTAGCAGTTGGCGGGAACTCGTGTTGTGATAAAAGGGTGAAAGCTCGTCGGATAAAGGTAAATTTCGATAGGAAAAAGCCCCCGGGGGATGAAAAACCGCCGTCGGGGCGCCCTAGCGTCGCCGTCTGACGTCACACGACGCAATCGACCAATCAGACATACCAACAGCTCAGTTTGTTCCGGCAGAGCTGAACCGTTACCGCCATATTGCCCAGTCGCCCGCGGTCTGTTTATATTCGTTTTATCGTGTGTAATTTTCACCACTGGGCAATACCGCGAATTAAATAAACACCCCAGTGCGCGTAAATCCCTAATAAGTAATTAAAAACCACCCATCAATGTCGCCCCGATAAATAACAATTACTGTCACCAAGTGTTGAATGTCCTGATCAATCAGCGAATAACAAAATCAACGCGAATAAAAAGTTCTAGTGCTGGCCCTGTGCCTTACTCCTCGCATTATTCAGTGCTCGATTCTTTTGTGCTTTTGTGTTCTGTTAATAGTCCTGTGAAGCCCTGTCAAGTCCTGTGACAGGAACACCCCTGACGCCAGCTGATTACAAAATGCCAGTTCGTAAACAAGGTGGTAAGCTCATTCCAAACTAGAGATCCCCAAACTTTTTATTTTTTCATAATGATTCTTACTCCTTGGGTGTTGTAATCCGGAAAAATGCTGATTTTCCTCGGACACGTGGGTTTTGTCGAGCAATTGGGTTTTTCCTGGGGGGCGTGGGTCACTCGGTCAGCAGTCAAACATGTCAATGGCACCTACCATCTCTCCCCAGGACCAGACGTATCGATTCAATTTCAAATCCATTAGACACGTTTCAACGTTGAAATAGTTCTTTTAATTGTGACCTTGAGAGAAATCATGTGATTTGCGTAATTGTTCAGCCGTCAACGGCTGTCAGATGCCACACACCAGTTTTCCTCCCTTTGCAGACATTTTATTAATGTAGGCCAAGATTATGTTGCAATAATCCATTGGATATATGTTGTGACTGGCTGATGGATTTGGCATTCTGCCAATATACTGTAATAATTTAGGTTCTGGCGGGTTTAGTTACTAACGTTTGTCTAGTGACGAGAATTATTTCAGGGACGTTAAACCAGGGTTGCGAGAATTGTTTGAACATTGATACTGAATTCATTCTCTACTCAACACCCAAACGTTTCCATTAATTATCCATTTTTTATTTCAATTACAAACACAGATTTTCCCAGGAAAGAAATTAAAGAACAATAATAAGTAATAATTATTTGTGTTGACGAAGAGATTGATTGATACCGCAGTAGACAGATACATATATTTCTATTATTATTTGTTATTGTTTTTAGGTAATTCAATCAATTCAATTTTCGTTTTCTCTCGTGGAAAATATCGCAGTTATCCGTTTTCATTTCCTATTGTAAGATATCGAATTCTGGCATCAATTTTTTTTCTCGCATCGGAAAGAGCTTGCGCCATATTCAATATGTACCGAGATATTGCGCTACGAGCTTTTTCTAGGACTCGTATTTATTGTTCATTCTATGGGAAGAGAGACTGAGAAAAACGGTTTATTAATTCCCTGAGACTCGACCCCCAGGAAAAATCAGCAGTAAATCATTTCCATTACTGCATAAAACTTTTTATAGGAAATTATCTAAATATTTAATTGCGGGGTACTTATTGTCATCTAGCAATTGAAGATTATTTAATTATTCTTATTGTTTATAACATATTTTACGTATTGCGGACGAAAAAAATTAGGGAAATCAATAGGTCATAAAAGCATCGTAACGATTTTTTTATATCTTCAAACGAAAAACCCTGGGGCATTTTAATCAATTATCGTTGTGCAACGTGGAGACAAAATCAATATCACAAACACCGGAGAAAAATCAACACTGACTCTGAAAATAAAAATCAACGAATTGGAAGTGAATTGGCTAGAATCATGATCAGAAAATTTATCATGCAGTGAAAAAAAATTTGCATCGAAAGAAATTAACTTGTTGAATGAACAGCAATGGTTTATCCACCTGAGAAGACAATAACAATAAAATAACAGTGCGATTAATCCCTGAAGAGATATTCGGGGTTAAATTGAAATTTTATGTCGGTATCTAATTGATTATTTTTTAATTAACACTTCGAAAAGTGTCGTGCATTCTCTCGTCAGTCAAGCCAAGTCGTTTGTCCTTCATCTATTTCATTCCACGTGCACTTAACTTTGCTATCGCTCATTCCACGTCTTCACTCGGTGTCGCATAATTCTCAGGAAGTTCTTGTTGAAAGTGCAGACGTCAGTTTCTCCTCAGTAACACCTGATACTATCCTTCAGTTAAAAATGTTGATAAGTCCCACAATTTTTCCTTCTCAAAAAGTCCAGTGACAACTCAAAAAAATAATCAAAATAATGCAACTCAAAATATTACCTAAAAAATCCCATGAAAAAATCCAATAAATTCTCATATTTATAAAATATAATTGAAAATGGTGAATTAAATAATAGATCTGCACTATAATTGCTTCACTTGTAATATTTAGATTTAGACGTTTGGATTCTCACTGGTGAATTGATCATTCTCCAAAGAATGAAATTTATTCTTTTCCACTGTAAAGCTCACCCGAAAGATCAAGGGACCCGAAACTCTTATCCCTCCACCGGGAGTTCTTGTTTCAACCTCCAACAAACGATTCATCCATAAAAATGTTGTTCGGTTCAAAGATTCCCAAGGTTTTCTATTTCTGACGTACCATCGGGATTCTCTCTCCACCTCATCCCTGCGGAAATTGATTCCCAATCATTTCCAACGACAGGATTCCATCCCCTGTATATTCCATCCCACAAAAGGTACCTCGTGGTGATGACGAGAGACCGGAGACATCCTGGTGAACTCAGGATTGTGAGATCTCATTTCGCGGCTCTCCCATTACATGTCGTTTATTACTTTCACAGGATCTTTGACATGAGATCTATTTGTGTGAAATCGAATTATCGATGAGATTTTTTTCCATCGTCACGGTCATAATTCCTTTGAGATTTTTCTCTTTGATGCTGCACCTGATAAGTGCACCTCTTCATTTATTTCTGGTCAATTAAATATTTGGGTAATTGTTCCACTTGTGGTCGAAAATTCGTGGTGAGGTATTTGGGTCTGGACGGTGGTGAGGAGAGGGTGCACTAGGTTCATCTGGAGTAGAAACAGCTGATATCGATTTCTTCATTCATTCTAGTCCAGTTCTCGAAATTTAGGTCGATTTACACACCCCTTCGTCCGTCAACGAATCATTGAATCCCAGATTTGAATCAATACTGACTGTTCCAATTTTCGGGATAGAGCTATTAATTATTCCATTCCAATTATCTTCATGATTGCAATGACAATTCAGTTCTCGAATGAAATAAGAGAATTGTTGTCTCGTTGAGCTGATAGTTTCTTTTGGATTAATTTTTTAAAATTGGGTCGAATGTGGTAATGAAATTGTAGGATGCTGGGAATACCGTAATAATTTCATGTGCCATGGCTGTCAAGTATCCGTACTGACCGCAGACAGGGCTGTCTACCTCGTGAACCTGATGTGCCGCGGCTTTTGCCAGGTCCATTCAGGTCCACTGGAAAATCGGGATTTGCATGTAAATGAAACTGACGTCTGCTACACTTTTACATCTAGATAATTGATGTGTTAAATCATCTCGTGGATTTTCTACCTAGTCGAGATTATTCGGTGCCCTAAGGGTACTGGAATTCGAGAGGTATGGAAAATTTATGGGGGTCAGATATCCTAAACATCTCACATATGGAAATGTTTAAATATTTAGCGGCACTGAGATATACGCCAGCTGCAGTTATGCGGTCATTTGGTGTCTCTTCCTAGTGGATAAATCGAGGGCAATAACACACCTGGGAAAATGGGAAAACGATCCATCAATTTTTCACTTTTTTAATTCATTTTTTTTTTGTAATCGAGGGAAAATTGCTTTCTCGGTGCAATTCGGATATCGATGAAGTCGTTAAAATTTCCTCTGTCATTTTTCAGCGCGTTATTTTTTTGTAACTTGACGCCTGAGTGAGTTGATTATCGAGAATGAATATTCAATGAATATTCAAAAATATGAGATCGTTCGCAGATGCGGAGGCAACCATATTGGTTACGCCCCTCTCTCCAGCGTGAGAGGCGTTCAAGATGGCGGAGTCCTCACCTCGTGATTTCAAATCGTTATTACGGTTCTTTATGTTTCTGAAATCACATGCGAATTGCTCCATTCTGTTCCTCTGAAATGAACAATTTTTTCAAGCCATCGTACAAATATTTCTTTTTTTTTCTGCCTGAGAATTCTAGGGAAAACGATTTTTTTAAAGATAAGATGAGCACATTTCTCAATAATTGCGATATTTTCAAAAAGACAGAGTTATGCGTTGAAAAAATATTTTCGCCACGGGAGAAAAATACCCATGCATATATTTTCCTCGCGTCCGCCTCATTTCAACAAATGTTCCAAAATGTTGCACATAAGAATGAATAAACAGAAAATAATGGAACAAGCTGTAGAAACTTGAATGAGGGTAATTATGAAAAATTCACTGGCATGAGAGTCGGAGCTTGTTAACGCTTCTGAATACTGCAACCGCGTACAACTCTGACCTGCGCTGATAGTTGACGAACAGTGGAAGGGGATTACTCGCTCTCTCGTTCAAAACTGCGGAAACTGAGTAGAAAAACTCTCGTTAACAACTACTGCAAGTCGATATGCAATTTGTGATGTTGGTTTTCGGCAGTTATACCTGAAAATTCCAAAAAAGAAAATCAACTTTATTTTTCGCTGCCGTTCCCAGGTCCTGTACTAGAAAATCACTAACAAGTGAAATATCTACAAAAATTGTTAATTGAAAATCCATAATGCCAATTCCGTGTCACTGCCCTGAAAATCGAGAGCTAGTCCCACGAGATTTTTTTTTACTCGACCACTGAAACAGCTGACGCCTCTGCACGACTGTATGACGTACTCAACTCTATTTATATTTTCTCATGACGTATCCGAAAAGTTAATACGGAAATAGCCGAGAAGGTGAATTGGCATTGAAGAAGGGGCAAGGGTCTTGGTCGTCTCGACTTTTTATTTATTTCCATCTCTCGTGCCATCTATCGATGACCCTACGATTCTTCCGGGATTCCCCCTATTTCCTGCAACAAATACACCGAAAAAAATCTTAAATTCCGAACAGAGCGAATTCAAAATCATGAAAACACGAAGAGAGAACAAACCAACTGTCATTATTCATTCTCACCTCGATCATTAAAATCGGTTGAATCTCTCGTTTCACTCAACTGCTCTCGATCCAAGTGCTTCCTCGACTATTTCCGTTCTCAAGTGCATGGAAAAGCCTCCCGGGAAAAGGTCTCATGATTGCCCGAATGAAAAAAAAAATGTAATCGAAATATTTTTTGCCAAATTTTCCAAAAATTTCTGGAAAACTTTTCGGAAAATTTTCTTACAAAACAAAAAAAATCCGAAAACAATTTTTTTTTATCCGGATGGTTTCTTCAAATGGGTCAGAGAGATTAACAAAAAAAAAGTGTGAGGAAAAAGCCTTTGACCCAGGAATTAACATTGAAAACCGCAAAAACGTACGATTTATCACCGACTGGTGGTATACGTGACTCCGGCTCATGCAAAAAAAACACCGGAATTTTGAGAAAGATGTCTGTTCGCTTGTAAAAGCCAGTAATTACACTTGGGAACTTAACGACGCTGAGGTAATACTTAACAGGAAGAATGTCCCTGGAGAATCGTTGGTATTTGTTGCTCCGGTGTAATTCTCCAGGAGTCATTGCTCCTGAAGGTGAATAAGAGGATTTCGTTTCTTCAGTGCCTTCTGATGGTACAATAGAATATGAAGACAATTAGTTGGACATTTCATGTTGGAGGGGTTAATGGAGGCTTCTTAATCATCATGTAATACCTCTCGATGCAGCGTAAATTATTGGAGAATTTTTCAGCTTTTCAGTGCTATCGATCCCTTTCTTTTCGTTAGTTTATCATTGGCTTGTTAACGTTAACGTTAACGTGTACCTGATTTTCGCGGGTATCTAGATGTTGGGGATTTGCTTACTGCATATTCCGGTAAATACCTCGCGAATTACTGTCTCCGTGGAAACTGGATTTTCCGTCAGTCGTAAAAAGAGCAAGAGCGATAATGTAAAATCTCATTATTGCAACATCTCTGGAATCGCTGGAGCGAATGTCCCGCAATCTCTCTTTTTCATTGGCTCTATTGAACCGAGAATAGATTCCAATTAGAAGAAAAAAATTGGAACATCTGCTCAATTACATGTTCACCCAGTCGCTGGTAATATTTATTTTTCTCGATGTGGAATTAATCTAGTGGTTTTCAAGAATTTTTTCGAATGAATTTGCGAAATGAACGACAAATCTTCATTTGCGTATTTTCCCGGTCTCTAAATTTCTGCTTATGCGGTAAATATAGGTAGAGTCAACTATAAGGTAATCGAAAAAATTCGGTTGATAAAAAATTAATTTTCCTCCCCCAAAAATTCGATGTCAATCCCTGGAGCCGAGGCGAAATTTTTTCAAGTGTAATTTTTCGATTTTTTCAATTTTGCTCCTCCTCTTTCATTCATTATTTATCTGACAATAAACAATTTCATAACTAACTCCCACACAATTTTTGTTACAGGTGAGTGCGAAGTGCTGATCGATGATGGTCCGACACTGGCAAAAGTAATGTCATACTCATCGCCCGTTACGCGTAGAAACTTCAACTCAGGTATTGTGAACATGTTCGCACAATGTTCATCGCCCCTAAACGCGATAATGTAAATAACCCTATAAAGGTTAATTAAATGTGGGTGCTGGAAAAATTTCGTTCCCCCCCGCGAAACGGTAATACTTCAATTAAATCAAATGACTGAATAAATCCGTCTCGACTGAATAATTCGCGATAAAGTCAATAAAGTGAAATTTATCGGCCCGTATTGACTGAAAGAGCAAACACATCCTCAATCAGCGGTTCAGGGATCGATTGCGAAGCCGCCAGGGATCAGCCAGTATTGCACCGACATTGGGTATAATTGATACAATGAGACGTAACAAGATAAAAATAAATGAGAGAGGGTTTGAATGCCTTTTATTATAGAAAGCTCGAAAATAGTGTGGAAATTGAAATTAACTCAATGTCGGTGCAATGTCGGGCGAAAGTCGGCGGTGCGTTAGCGAAGAGTTCAGGATTTTTAGGGCTCGATTCCCCAAAATTCTCGGAGACAAACGCGCGTTTCTCTGTGTTAGCTAAAAATTTCGTACGGGGCGAAAAATAAATGCGAATATAAAACTGAATTTTTGATTCAAACATCGCTCTGGATGTTTACTGGGTGTGCATGGAGACAAGTAATTCCGCATTACGCCGCATAGTCACTGCATCGCAAGACCATTGGGATAACCTTTGCCTCTTCCCTTCTATCTCCAGCTCGGGAATTTTCCTCCCTTTTTTCCATCTACTCCTAGGAAAATTGCCCAACCAGAAAGATCCGGGCTGAGGTAGAGGAAAAAAATAAAAGGGCGAGGAGAAAATTCAGGTAGAGAGGAGAAGAAAAAAAAATAGATCAGTCCCTCCGAGGACTTTGGCTTGATAGAGTCGAGGAAATTTCGTCGCATCCTTCGCCCGGAAGAAGCCACCGGAGACTGTACGATCGATAATTTCGTTTTCTATCACGCGGGCTTGGCCAATTTGATGAATATAATCTCGACTCTTGAAAAAAAAATCGGCGAAAGGTGGAAAATGTGAGAAGGTTAAAAGCACCTCAGTACAAGTCGCAAATTGAAATTAATAACTTTTCAGTGAAGAGTTGGCGGAAAGTTTTTCCACTATTTCAACTTTTTTTTCCGTCATTTTCTCAGGGAGTTGTGGGAGGGCGAACACTTTTTTTTTCATTTCCCGAGAGTTTCGGGTCGACTGCGTGAATATATATTACATTTTGACGTGTAACGTCAGGCGTATGGAGATACGAGGTGACAAAATGGTCATATGCAGGCCAACTTTCTGGGAATATTGAAAAAATTGATCTGTCCGAATAGAATTGTAAATTCTTCCGTTTCTACTCCACATCTTTCAGAAAGAAAGCCAAAGGCTTTCGACCGACTTCATTCGTATTATGAACGTTAATCAGGGGCGGTACCCAAATGAAGTTGGCGCGTGTCGATAAATTAAAGGCGGGAAATTCAAAATCGCAGGGCGCAATCGGTCGCGTATTCTCTCACAATAAACAAGAGTTACTCGTACCTATCTTAATATCCCGAGAAAATTCCTCGAAATTCTTCCTCGAAACGTCCCTTCGGCATTTCGTAAGCTCTATCTTCCCAAAAAGTTGCCGAGACACAAGATTTTGGCAATTTCCCTGGAAGATAACGCCCGAAATGACGGAGTACTTCGGCTGAGGAATTACACTGACGCTGCAATTGTGCGAGGACTCACCCCAGTATATACCCGCGAATAATGAGACAATTACTCACAATTAGTAGAAGAGGAGGTGACAAAGTGGGCGGTAGATGCGAAGGGATAAGGAACGGTAATTCGCCGTACGTATAGTTCATCTAGGCACTTATTCCGGGCGTGAGTCAACTGATAGTAGAAAGGGAAGCCTTCTAACCCCTCGAGGTGTCGGGTGCCTCTTGCAACATGAAATTCCAGAGGGATCTTCCACCTCAAATTATGGGAAACTAAATTCTTTCAAAACTTTGGGAAAATTTTCAATTCCCCGGGAATTGGGTGATAAACATTTTTTTAGAAATTTTCCATTTGAGACATAAAGGAATTTCTCCGAGGACCTCCACAAGTCTCCGCGTAATTTATTATTTATTATCGTCTGACTATAAAATATTTATAAATCTCCAATGATTATAAAAAAATACTGATAAAGAACAAAAATTGAGAATACTTGACTAAACAATTAAAAAAAAATCAACTAAAAAAGTCTTAATTGAATAATTATCATAATCGGCTCGATCTAATTTTTAGTGTGAAAAAAAAAGATTTTGAAATAACAGTTTCAATTTAATTGACTGTATGTTCTTGTCAGAGTGTTAATGAAATCCGTCTCCAACGATCAGTGCTCCTGGCCCTTAAGTGGGTTTATGACCTCCGAGTTCTTATATAGACTTTTTACGACCTCACAGGGTCGTCAAATGACCGCTACAGAGCCCCCAGGTGCTTATCTAATCATCACGTAATCCTCGGGAGTCTAATCCTCCCCCATCAAAACATATTTAAAAATATATCTCACAATTTCTCACACTCCCCCATAACTTTCCAGACATGAAAGATAAAATGGAGATAAAATTTCCGTCATTAGTCGTTGCAATAAAAATTGTCGCAGTAATAACAAAAAATAATGAGAAAACCATCGCTCACCGGTAGACGACAAAATATGACTTAACGATTAAATAGTTGACGGGGACATTATTAACGTTGAAACATACCTCTTGTAATTCAATTTTTCACAAGAAAAGTACCTCAACGAGAATAATGGGTGAGGATTAAAACATCTGCGATCCTCTCGGACATTCACTACTGAGAATTAATCTCCCGCGACTACTGGACATCTGTCCAGGGGATCAGGACACAAACACACATCCCCTTATCCATTGGTTGTGCTTCCTCGATTGCCAGGCGTCTCTCCGTAGTAATAATTCGCACTAGTATCTCTAGATGTCTTGAGTACGGGGAACATTTGGTGGTGGTGAACCATCTGATGACAATGCTTGGTCATAAAATACTGGTGTATTCAGGAGAGCCTAGAGGTAGAGAACTTGGTCATCGTGCATCACCCGGAGGTCTGGAAATTAAAGTGCAAGGGATGAGACCTGAATTTCCGGAATTCAAAATTTCGGAATATTTCGGTGGAGAATTCTCTCATATTTCAATGAAAAAAATTATCGATTAATTAATATTGAAATATAAAAAAATATATGTACATTATATATTATATATAACAAATCTTTATATATATATATATATATAAATATCAACATATATTAATCAACACGAAATGATCATTTGCTGAATTATCATTGAGTGATGGAATCTCGTTATCACGAGATTCTTCTATCAGTCTAGAACCGTTGAAGAAGTGTTTCACCGGGTGCAACGGATTAGTCGTCAAGAGAGTGTAAATGGCACCGGTGGGATTGTCCGTAAATCATCTAGCTCATGGGTTATGCTCTGGGATACTATCCTGAAAATGAGCGGTGTATATACCCTGTGTATGTGTATACCAACGTGAAATGAGGAAAAATGCTTGACCCGGATTGGCCATCCTGGGAGGGTGCGACAGTTGGGTGAGAAAAAAAAAATATATTACTGGAACATTGCGCTGTGCTTATATCGCATGACGGGCAATGCACGCACCGACGACCTGGAAAGTTTGTAAATAATACAACGAGCTTGTAATATAGATTCTGAATAATGCGTGGGAATTATTATGATGGTGTGATTTCAAAATTACAAGTGTCATCGTTTAATTATGGATAAATTTAAATCCTGGTATCCACTTCAATTGCCGTCACAATTAGCACTTCTTCACTGCTAATGGCATTCTCGAAGTGATTAGCCGGCACAGGTGTTTGTCAAGCTGTGATCTCGTATGATCTGTAATGATGATCATTACTCATCATCAGGGTAAATTAATGTGATATTCAATTTGATGTGGATCGGGGCATTAGTTTCACGGGTTTACCAGAATCGTGCAGATTCGGAGATGAAATTGAGGGAAGACAGAACTCGGGGATGTTGTGTTCAAAGGGAAAGCAACGGGAAGACAATTGCCTCGGGGTTTAGTGAGAATGTTGATACACGTGTTAAATATTCTCGACTAATGAAATTGAATTAGGTTTTCTATTTTAAGACAATTTTTTTAAAAATATTTACACTCGTGGAGCCATATTTTAACGCGAATTCTTCACTGCTTATCTAACATTTAATATCTCTCTGTTCACGTAATATTTTTGCCTTCTCATCGTCTATTCTGTGTCACGAGTTGGGTGTCTCTGGATAATCGAATTATTATTTTCCGTCCTGAATATATTACCCGCACCATTGGATCATGAATCTTGTCGCGTCAGGTCAAGCGAAGGGATGAAATCTTTCCACTGTCATTCACTTTTGCGTCTCGAATCCCTCACTCTGCATCATTGAACAATATTTCCGGGATATTTACGCTCTGCTCCGTGAGTTATGTGTAATCAGATTAACTACATGCCTCACAATGTCTCTACAATTTATTGATAGTATTCGGTGCGTTATCTAATCTCGAGCCACTAATTAAACTTCATATTGTAATGAGATATTTTTTGATGGCGGTGGCGTGTGCCAGTGTCTAAGTGTCAGGGCTAGATTCAACATGAAGAATATCCAGCCGAAGTGTGGATCATGGCCTCAATGGCTTGCAGCTGTTGAAAGTAAGACAAACTTGGTCAATCCATTCGTTAGGTTCTCCTCAACCTCATCAAATTGTTTTGCCTGATATCCGACATGTTCTTTTAGTTTTCTTGATGGGATTTGTGGCGGGTGTTGGAAGTGGTTGGACGTCTCCGTCTCTGGCAATTCTCTTGAGCGAAGCCTCTCCAATTCCAATGACAGAATCCGAGGGCTCATGGATTGCTTCTCTCCTGAATATCGGTAGAGCAGCAGGTGGTTTACTAGGTGCAATCGACGTAGAGCTATTCGGCAGCAAAACATCGTGCCTTCACATGGGAATAATGCAATTAGTGGGTTTAGTTTGTCTCGGTGTAGCTGACTCAACGACTTGGCTGTACGCAGCAAGATTCATCGCTGGACTTGCCACAGGGATGTTCTTCATCGCTTTTCCACTCTACATCGGTGAAATATCTAATCCTAAAATTCGAGGCAGTCTCGTTGGTACAATCGCTAATGGAATGTCGATTGGTTACGTTGTGGGTAATTTGACCGGTGCTTACATGTCGATACCAGCATTCGCTGCATCAATGTTAGCAGTTACTCTTCTATTTCTTGTGACGTTCTATTGGCTGCCCAAGTCATCACATCATCTGGTGCTGAAGGATCAATTGGAAGAGGCAGCTGTTTCTATCAAATGGTATCAAAGGGATGCTGATGTTCCAAATGAATTGGCATCGCTTCAGAAGTTCGTCAAAGACAAGCGATCCATGACTTTTGGAAATTTGGCAAATGAATTCATGCAGTTACCTAATAGAATTGCATTGTTCAAAGTCATTATGGTGTACGTTCTCATGCAACTCAGTGGACTTTACACCGTGGGATTCTACATGGAGATTATTCTGAAGAAGGGTGGAGTAATGGTGGTAGATCCAGCGATGGCTGTCATCGTCATCAGCACCATTGGGCTAGCTGGTGGATGGGTTGCGATGTACGCTGTTGACAAATATGGGAGAAAGCTGGTGTTGACTGTCTCGGCAACTGGACTTGCTGTCGGTTTAATCTGCATTGCTGTTCATTATCAGCTTTTGGAGATTGGTTGCGATCCTGAGTATCTCCAGTGGCTCATTATCTCTGCTGTCATTGTCCTCGAGTTCTTCATCAATCTGGGAATCATACCCATTCCCAGCACAATTCTCAGCGAAATTTTTGCCCCCAACATCAAGAGCTACTGCTCTTGTCTCGCCAATATCACTTCTGGATTCATTGCATTCTTGGTCACCCAGACCTATCAGCTACTGATTGACTCCATTGATTACTATGTTTATTATATTTACGCGGTTATGATGATTCTTCTGGCTCTTTTCACCATCACGCAGCTGCCCGAGACGAAGGGGAAGTCGCTCCAGGAGATTCAGAACATGATGATGAAGAAATGATGAAGATCAAATGACAAGCTGAAATTTTTGTCCTGTGATATCGTGTGTTAAAATATATCCAATAGATATTGTATCAACGCATCGAATGAACTGCAATAAAATACTCTTTTTGGATAAATTGTCAATTTTTAAACGTCAGGTGAGCTTGCAAATCTGACGGGAGAGAAAAGGCATCTCAACAGCTGGTACTTTTCGAGAAATGTGTAACTTACTGACATCTTTCAGTTACTTAGTCGGAAAATAGTTGGAGAGAATAAAAACATCTTCTCATATATCTACGTTGAATTTATACGAGACGACAGTGTCACAGTTATGGGGAGAGTGTCGAAGTTGTAGGATAGAAGTTGAGTTTTCCATCTTCTGGTGCAATGGATTTTCAAGTGAGTAGAATTTTCCGAGAAAGAGGCGCGATGGGGGGTGGGAACCGCGCCCTCGACACGTTTGCTCTCTGCCGATGGCTTCCTGTACCTTTTATGTGTATATTATGTAATACGCTACTGGTGTGTGCATTATTTCGAGGATAAATCGTTCGTGAATAATGTACTCTATGAATCTTCGGTTCTTCCTGAAAATTGCCCACGGCACACCCATTAGGTTGGATCAAACTTTCTCACCGATGATAATATCAGGTTATAACCACTAGATGATGATATATTCACGCAGTCTTGGATGTTTACACCATATTAAATGAATAAAAATTATCGCGAGTCTCTCCTAATTTATCATTTTTTTCTATTCGGAGGATTCGGGGGAAGGGGAGAAAAATCATTCTGAATTATAGTTTTTTTTTGATTAGGTGAGGTGAAGACATTGAAAGTTATTGAATTTTTTCGTTGGGTGGAATTGATATCAATCATCAGATTATCACTCTTTCAAACCCAATTTTTATTATCCACTGGAATGAGGAGTAGGACCCTCGATAATCATATCTGGCAGGTACTTCTCTCGTAAATCCGTAGAATAGTGCCGTTATCATCGGACTGATACGAGGAGCTATGCACTCCCACCCCATAGACAGCATCCTCGCGCATCCAACGTCTTCGCAGATTGCCGTATTTCCTCGGTAATCGCATAAACTCAAGTCCCTAGAAGTTTAATTGAATCGGCGATACAGGATTGATCCGTCGATTTACGTAAAAAAAAATGATAAGTCTAGCTCGTCCCTATAATAATTCCATTTTTCCTCGAAATGTTGACATTCACACCATCAGTATATTTAATAATAATAATTCAATAATGGAGTTGGACATGCGGAAATTTCATTTTATCACGTGAGGTCTTGCTTAGAAATTTATTTTCTTATAAAATTTCAATAGTAAACTGGGGTTTCTGGGAATTTTTTAGAAATAATAAATTGACCCCCAAACGCCACCCGAAAGATACTCCAGACATTTCGTGAGGACGAAAAATTCAACCGCAAGCAGAAGACTTAACCTGACGGTGGGTTAACGCCGGATTGAATTTACGATCTTCCAATCGCTTAACGGTCCCAGCGAATTCAGCAGTTTTCCGGGTGTTAAAGTTATCGCAACAGATGTCCATTTCAATCATTGGAGTGAATAATTCCGGTATTTTATCTATAATAAATTTGTAGGTCAGGTAAATTCTCCAGTAACTGAAACTGGATTAATGAATTCGATTGAACACGAAACCAATTTTTTCCAGAATAATTATTTTGCTGTAAAATAAAATTGCTGATTTCGCTATTAAAAAAAATTAATCCATACGAATGAAGTTCTCCCAAGTCGAAATATCTCGAAAGCGCATCGACGCGATTTCCCATTGGCCAAGACGACCGCCATGTCTCCTCCCCTGCGGCGGTAAATTTGAAAACTGAAATTCGCGCACAACGCGCAATAATTTCCGTCTAGTTTCCCGCGATTTTTCTGAGATTCCACGAGGTAAATTCACCAACTACGGGTCAGACAGTGTTTTTATAAAAAAAATACATGATAACCAATTACCTTGAGCGAGTCGAATACTGTGATATCTACTTCATTCTTCTTTTGATGCACACAGTGGTGATATTCATGAAGGGTTTAAAGGAAAGTTACGCGTTAATTGAGTACCCAGAAGTGAGTTGTAGACGAGCAAAGCACTCGAGGGCACAAGTGGTCTCAGTTCTCGAGTCCCATGCCCCAAAACTCGCACAAGGGAGGGGTTCGAGTTCAAAGCGTACACCGGAAACCCCTCCCTGTCCTCTTCCATTTCATATCGCCCTCGTTATGTCATTACTTTCACCCTCAGGTGAATTTCAATTCATAACTATTACTTGGCCGAGTCTCTGATATTGTTGGAATACCTTTGGGGAAGGGGGATGGGGTATGATCATTTGTGAAGAAGAAAATAATTCCCCTTGACTCCCCTTCTCAGTTTTACTCAATTCCAAAAAATTTCCAAAATTACAAACCATCACTATTTTTTAAACCTAATCAAACTCACAATCTTATTTTAATAAATTATCGGTTATTAATTAGTTTTCGCGCTGATAGTTGCAGATCAATATGCCTAAAGTTTTCCTTCAATAAAATATTATGTACGACGAAAGGAATGAAGAAATTATTGTGTATAACAATCGTGATTTACAGAATTTCCTGCGCTTAATGCTTGATTGAATTGAATTCGCGGAAATAGTTGAATCTACCAGCGAAATGGCTCATGGAAAAATATTTTTGGGGGGTATAATCCGGTGAAATCCATTGACTCATTGAGGGCAGTGCATTAGTCCAAGCTAATCCCAGCTTTCCTGTTGAAAATTCCTCCTGAAGTGTCTAAACACTCGCAAACTACCCTTCAACATCCTCCCTCCTTATGCGAGACTTTTTTTTTTCTATTCCAAATACGCGATGTTGAAATAACTGAGGTTAACCGTTAAGCCGACGTCTCTGTAGATCGATAAGAGCCGTTGTGGATTACCGGAAGTAACTCCTAGAAAATTTAGGTCACAGCAATCCTCTATCCTTGTATATACACGATTTGGCCACCAACCAATGTCGTATTTCAGCTCAACTCAGCCATGACGCATGGTTTGAACTTTCCTACTGTCTATGGCAGATTGGAAAATTTGACCGCATTCAATGCATATCATTGACGAATGCATCTTGCTATTTCACAATCAGGAATTTATCCCCTTTTCCACCTAGAACAATGACGAAATCAATTACAATTCCACATTTCGTATAAATAAAATACTCACATGTCCATGAAATTCCATTTTTTCATTCCAACAAAATAATCTGAGATCGCGAGTATGACGCTTGTGAATTTATCGTTGCGCAATTGCAATTGCCATTGGCATTCGTTTATTTTTTGAGATAAAAGAGTGACGGTTATCGCCCTTTTGATGCTATTGTAATTAATTATTCTGTCTTGATGAAAGATTTGTAAACATTGCGCGGACATTAAGTGAACGGTGGAATAAAAAATGAAACGTATCTTTACTCTTTAAAAATCGAATTGCAATTCCGCTAGTTTCGTCTGAATCTCGTTACTCCAATGCCGTAAAGAAAGTAAATTCAATTGCCGATGGTACATTCTAAATCTCAACGAAGTGCAATTACCCTTCCACAATTAACTTCTCCAACTCTCCGGCGAATCTCTCAAACAAATGTGGCACGAAAAAAAAAATTGATTGCGTTATTGTCAATTGCACCGATTAGTCCCCGAGAGAAAAAAAAAAATTTTAAAATGAATGAGAGCGTCTGACTAAAATCAATGGCAAACGGTTATCATTCATGATCGAATGGATACACTGTAATTACCGATCATCGCGTATTCACTTATTCATTGTTATTTCTTCCTGAATCTGCTGCAAGGATTTGCCTTTTGTTTCGGGCATCCATAAGATGGCAAATGGTACGGCAGTCAAAATACTGACGATATAAATCCAGTAGACGTACTTTTGTCCGATAACGTCAACGAGGGGTTGAAATGTCTTAGTGGTAATAAATGCGAATAAAGCACCGACAACACTAGCAGCACAAGCAGCCACGCACTTTATAGCTGGTGGAAATATCTCGCTCAATACTGTACTTGGTACAGTCATCATTCCGGTGAATGCACTCAACTGAAAAATAACGAGTGAAGCTATTGGCAATGCTTGGAGTTTTATTGGATCATGGCCATTATCAAGAAATGTAAAATGAATTTCAAGAACGGCAAGACCAATTGCCGTTCCAACACTCGAGACGATGAGGAGACCACGACGTCCGAGCAATTCAATGAGATACGTAGAGATACCGATGGCAATGACAGTTACAGCTGACACCATGATGACAGTCATCGATGGATCAATTATCGTGGATTTAGCGTCACGGAGGATCATCTCCATGTAGAAGACGATCGTCGTGAGTCCGCTCATCTGCATGTACATGAAGAGCATGAGAACGATGTAGAGAGCTTTTCTCAGTTCGACTCGTTTGAACTCTCGGGTCTTCTCGAGGAAGCCCTGAGAGTTGGAGGTCTCTACGTACGTCTTCAACGACGAGTAGACCCTGTCGACGTCGCAGCCCCTGTCGTACCAGGCGATGGCAGCTTTCACCCTTTGGACATCCCCACGCATCAGATGGTGTGGGGATTCCGGGAGACAGAGGAACATGACGATCGCTATCAAGGACAACACCAGGAAGATGATACTCGATGTCTCGAGATCCAGATGAGCTCCAATTATACTGGTCAAGAGACTTCCCGTGGGGATGCCGATCATCGCTGCGCTTATCAGCGATCCTCTGATCCTCGGATCCGCTATCTCACCGATGTACAATGGAAAACAGCTGAAGGCCATACCCATGCCGATTCCAGCTAGGACTCTTCCCAGGAATAACCAGACAATCGATTGAGCTAGGGCTGTGAGAATCCAGCAGGCAGCAGTCGGTAGGCATGTGATCAGAAGACTCGTTTTGCTGCCGAATATGTAAACTGATCCACCTCCGAATACAGCTCCCAATGTTCGCCCCACGTTCATTATTGATGCGATCCAGGATGCCTCGTTCAGGGTCATAGGAAGAGTTGAATTTTTTGAGGTCAATTTTGGGATGTATGGAGAACTCCACGTGCAGATGCAGCCAATTTGCAGGAGAGATACTGTCACTGAAAATTATTTCTGCGTATTAAACTGGGGAATTGAAGAAATCAAATAAAATCAATCAGATAATTATAATATCAATTGTTCCGAGGGGTCTTCATGATGCCAATTAATTAGATATGATGTATATAATTACTAATTGTGGTAATAATTATTACCTGCTAGTGTGGAAAGCCATTGTGGCCACAGAGAATTTATTCTCTTCATCTCGATCATCGCACAGCAGTTCTCGATGGAGAATAAATCTCCTTGACGTATCCCCGACGTTGAGGTCACCCGTCTTCGATGAAAACGATTTCCTCTTTCCCGTGATGGGCCTCTGGATTGTCCCCAATTTATGTCACGCTGACACTATCTGATTCGAGGGAAGACTGTCAAAGCGATTGTCTTGACACTCGGGCATGCGATAACAGACGGGGAATTAAAGAACGAGGAAACTCTATATTCACCGAAAACAGTCGTCTCATTGTTTGATCACAAATATAAACACATCTGAATTAGTATTTGACACTCAGGGAAAATCCAACGAGTTGCGCAATTTTATAGATAAACAGCTAATTAAATTTTTCGACTGCTCTCCTTTCGATAATTTAGTCATTAAATAATGGACTTACACTGATTTTTTTTTAGAATTGAGAGTGAAGGGGAAATTATTTGTCGAAATTATGACATTTTGTGGGGAAAAAAAAATCGTTTATTAATTGTTTTTTCAATTTTTCACACATTCGTAGGGATTTGATTTTTGTAATATCTAGTTCTTCCGATAAAATTGAAGATTGAAATTGAAATTCCCGTCGTTCCCCCGCTGTCATTTATTAAGGCATCAGGGTATTGAACAGCTGATGATCTCGAGGGCAAACATCGGAGCCCATGTGCGGCCGCGATAGCGATAAAAAATTCCAGTGCTCACTGCTTTTTCATGGGATAATCAGAAGAGTACATACTTCCACTCCCACATTGAGCAATCAAGAAAAAAAAAACACATTAAGTACGTCAACACATGCGATTGATAGCACAGAGACGAAATAAATCGCTTGAACCTCAAGATCCATTCCTGATTGTTATTTTCGATTCTGCGAAAGCAGATTAAACCTTCCACTCGCTATTCACTAGATTTTTACAGTTCCGTTTCATTTCCATTCGGCTAATTTATCAGACATATCCCAGTCATGACTTATGCACATCATTTATAATTGTCCCACGACAAAAAAAAAAGCTCACACGTCATTTCGTAGAAAATGCCATTACATTTTCAACAAGTACTGATTTAATTCCGACTTTCCAATTCCCTCGTATCACATCCTGGTGCTACTGAAATCTTCACGCACAGAATTACTGAGTTTGTCAACTGTATAGGTGTCCTTGACGTCTTTTTTCTTTCCACTGAACATTTCCTGAATCTCCTGCAAAGATTTCCCTTTGGTCTCCGGAACTGCCATAATTGTATAAACAAACATAGCGAAGACCAGAAGAGCGTACAGCCAAAGGACAAATTTTTTGGAAGTAACATCCAGCAGGGGCTGATAACTTTTGCTAACGATGAAGGCAAAAAATGCGGAGATTACATTAGCCATGCACGTGCCAATTTCCTTGAGCTGAGGTGGAAACATTTCGCTCATGAGACAACTGGGAATGGTAAGAATTCCAATGCACATGAAGAACTGATAAAAAATGATAGCACTGATGCTCAAATACTGGAGAGTCGAACTGTCGTAATTCATGTCCAGCAGCTGATGATTGAGACCGAGAAGAAATAATGTTACAGCGGCTCCAGCACTGGAGACAGCCAGCATTGTTCGTCTGCCAGCTCGATCATTGGTGTACATTGAAATCAATCCCGCGCCAAATCCAACAAGTCCCACACACACGACAATTAAAGATGGGGCAATGACCTTGACCCCGAGATCAGTCAAGATGATCTCCATGTAAAGAGTGATTGTGTAGAGACCACTCAATTGCAGAAAGATGTAAACACTGTTCACGATCACCACAATTTTTCTATTCGTCGGTGAAAACAGCTGTTTGAACGTCTCCTTCATTGACAATTTGACTTCCTGTCCTGTGAACAGCTTCAGAGATTCCAGTTCTGCGGTAACATCGTGTTTACGATTGTAAAACTGGAGAGATTTTCTAGCGGCATCAATCCGATTTTCCCTAACCAAGTAATGAGGGCTGTCCGGAAAAACGATAAATCCAAAGAAAAATGCAGCAGTCATGGCGATACTTATGAGAGCAAATGTCGTCATGCTAACGTACGCCCCAATTAAATTCCCGAGGAGAGTTCCGATGACTATTCCCTGAGTAATCACGCTGATCAGAGTACCTCGGATTTTAGGATCGGCAATCTCTCCCACGTAAAGTGGAAATGTGCTGTAGTACATTCCAACAGCAAAACCACTGAGGAGTCTTGCGGTGTAGATCCAGGGTACCGACTCCTTGATGAGAAAGCAGAGCCATGCCAGGGCATGAGGGATTCCGTTGAAGAGGACAGCTTTTTTAGCCCCAAATTTGTGAACAATCACTGCTGCAAATATGGCACCAACTGTGCGAGTTATACTGAACAGGGAAGCGATCCAGGATGCCTCGTCCTCTGTGATCATCAGGGTTTCAGTTCCTTTAGTTAATTTAGCTAGGAATGGTGATGTCCAGCCGCTGACTAGCCCAACCAGGAGGGACAATATGTGAACTGCAATGGATAATTGATTGCTTCTGGTGGAATTTTCATTCAGAATTAATGATATAATAATTGATCAATGATAACTCACTTATCAATGATGCAATCCATTGCGGCCAGACTTTTCCACTTGGACTCGGTGATATCTTTGATGAATCGTTCATACTCACCCAGATTATCGGTCTTAAGAGCGTCTGCCCGGTTGCTCTTCGCGGCAATGACTGAATTCCTCCACTGGACATTTTATTAGGCAAATCCGCTTGATCATGCAGTTGAGTAATCAATTGGCGTGACAATACGTCATTAGTCAACACACCTATCGTTTTGAAAAGCGGGCAGCTATAGTTGACGGATTGGATCTAGATGGAATGCAGCAAATATTTAAATTTGAAAATATATGGAATTGAATTTTAATTTCGGTCTCATGATGGAAATCAGGAACCGTGAACTTCAATGTGCGATTGGTTATTTCCGTCTCTTTGGTCTTCATTATTGTCGCTGATAGTGTAATGAACTGATATCGCTTCATTTTTTTTTATCAGAATGATGTCTTAGAGATAAAGTATTGAGTAAATATGGGGGTACTCTAATGGGTAGTGATAAGATCCGGAGAAGTGGCTTGTGATTACAGTTCAGAGATTATTGAAGTACATGACGTGTACTGGCTGCCACACTTTTGATTACGAGTGGATTTGGTGCGGGTTTATTTTATTGGTTTATTTATTTGATTATATTGATGATCTAATGGGATTGTCAAGGCCAGAGGCGTAATTCTGGCACGCACCGTACATCATCGAGTTACCATAAAATTATGGAGTTACGCACTGAGGAAAACGGAATTAATTTGTAATAATTGCGGGGAAGGGATAGGCTACAATGATTATTTTTTCTTGACTTTTTCTCGAGTTTCAGAAAAATCGAATGAATCGTGATCTGATGAGAAAAATCAACGTGGAAGAATACAATTTGAACAAAAATTTTTCTGTCATGGATAGGCCCTTGGGATTGGCGAAATAAAAACGTTTTTATAGAATTTTCTATAAACATGTTTTAAGATATAAACAATTTGATTACTTACTCGTTAACTAGTCGGAAAAGCAAGAGATGGCGGTAAAAATCTGATTGCTGTTATTTACTCGGGACTAACAAGCTCTTCAAGTCGTAATTCTTAACAGAATACATGCGAACATTTACTCACCCCCGCGGAAGGCGAGTAAACATGATTTATTATCACAAGCTTTGAATACTTGTTAAGATATTTTCGTGATTTGTGGAGTTTCTTTGGAATAGTGATATTTTCGGTTGTCGAGACAATATAGGAGTCGAGTGTACTATCTGAAGAACAATATGATATTGGATTTGAGGAAATCACACGGAGAGAAATATTCCAGAAAAATGACGGGTCATTTCACGTAATTTGTAAGCGAAGCAATCATCACATAAATTCTACGATTTGTTCCATATAAATTATTCATCCACCCGACGCATCATGGCTAGCCATGAGTTACCGTGACGGAATTTTTACGGCATGTTACGTAATTTTTCTGGAGCGTTCCGCAAAAAATCTTGAACATCCAAGAATTTTTATGCTCTGAGGCATAATGAGTCTTGTTTCGGTCGATTTTAAAACTTCCAAAAAAATTACGTGACGTATTTTTTCGGTGACAGAACCCGAAAATTTACTGAAATTTCCAGATTTATTCCCTGAAAGCGATTCTCACTGGTAGATTACACGAAATGTTCCGTAATTTTTATTGAATATTTGTCTCCGTGGAGTTTTGCGCAAAAGGTCTTATTATATTTCGATCGAACATCCGTGATTATTTCTGGAAGAAATTTCCTCAAGTCGGGTTCACTGACTGTAAGCACCTGCTCAAGATTTGGAGAATGAAAGATTGCCTCCGGAATTATTTACGTTTTGACTTATCGTAGACACGTGTGATAACGCAATCTACACTCCATAATACCTCAACCTTGACTGGAACGACGAGTGCAGATATTATATTTTCGTTACTGTTTACCATTTTTCTGTCAATTCGTCGATCCTCATTTCGGAAATTTCTATTAAATGAAAAATCGATCGGATCTCTCAATTTCCATTCCGATTTTCCCTGGGAATGAAAATTTCACGTAGAAAACTCTTGAATACCCATAAATTTTGTCTGTCATAAATAAAAAATAGAAAACTGTGGCGATAACGTGCACTGGTGTTGTCGAATACTAGTTTAACCTGTAATATTCTTTTCCAATTATTATCAATCGCTTAGCATTATCATTTTCGCAATATTGAAACCGGTTTCGTCAGCGGCAACCATTTTTCCACATTTTTCTGGGAAATCCTGATGACCTCTGAATTTTTAATTAACGCACAATTATGCCTAATGCTCTCCGAATGATAAGACAAGATCTCCAGGAAAACCGGAAAAAATACAATTTATTCAAAAATTTCACAATTAATTTTACAATTGGACAGCCTAAGAAATTTAAAATAATGGAACTCATTCGCTGCTTTCTGACTTTTGACTCGGTCCACTCGGAATCCACTCACTCTTTTCCTTCAGTATCTCCTGAATCTCCTGAAGGGACTTGCCTTTAGTCTCAGGAACTACAGCCATCGTATAAAAGAAGATCATAAGAATCAGAACTGCGTAGAAGAAGAACATGAATTCCTCGGACGTGACATCCAGCAAAAGCTGATAGCTCCTACTAGCTACGAATGCCGCAAAAGCGCAAAGAATATTTACAATGCAGGACCCAATTTCCTTCAATTCCGGTGAAAAGATCTCGCCCAAAAGGCAACTAGGAATTTGGGCGAGTCCGATGTGTACGAAGAATGCGTACATCATAATCTCGGAAATCGCCAGCCATTGGAGACATGAGCTGTCGTATCCTCGCTTGACTAGCAGGAAGTTAACACCTATCAGAGCAAAATTAACAGAAGCCCCCAGAGAAGACACAGCTAGCATTGTTCGTCTTCCAAATTGATCATTCGTGTAGATGGAAATTAGTCCCGATGGAATGGCGACTACAGCGACACATACCACAACCAGAGATGGAGCTATGACATCAGTTTTGAGAGTTGTGAGAAGTATTTCGAGGTACATCGGAATCGTGTAGATGCCACTGAAGTGAATGAAGACGTGAATGGAGACAATCGTGAAGAAGGTCTTTCTATTCAGCGGTTTTGACAGACTCCTGAAGGATTCGATGAGAGTCAATTCCTGCGATTTCTTCATGTATCCGCTCAATTCTTCCAACTCACCTGTCACATCATCTTGGCGATTGTACCACTTCAAGGATTCCCCAGCTTCTTCTATTCTGTTCCTCTTGATGAGGTGATGTGGACTGTTCGGGAATAACGAAAAGGACAACAAAAAGATCGCAGTCAGTATGAGACTTATGATTGCGAAGGTTTCCATGTTTAGGTATGCCCCAAGGAGAGTCCCTAGTAAGTACCCAATGGCTTTTCCTTCAGAGACAAGGCCAATCAGGGCACCTCTGATGTTTGGATTAGCTATTTCTCCGATGTACAGTGGAAAACTCCCAGCAAACATTCCAAATGCAACACCACTGAATACCTTTGATGCGTAGATCCAAGGGACGGATTCGTCAATCAGAAAGCAGCACCAGACAAGAGCGTAAGGAACTCCACCGAGCAACACAGCGTTTTTCGCCCCGAATTTGTAAATTAGTGCTGCTGCAATTGTGGAACCAAGTGGTTGTGACGAATGAGACAGAGATGCAATCCATGATGCTTCGTCATTGGTGATGGTCAACGATTCAGTCCCCCTCGTCAATTTTGCAAGATACGGAGAAGTCCATCCACCTATCAGACCAGAAAGAACGGCCAGTATATGGACTGGAATACGAGGGATTACTTTTGATAATGACTTTTTCCTGGTGAATCACTTACTTATTGATGCTGCGAGCCATTGAGGCCAAACTTTTGGATTTGGCGCAATGGTTATTTTCGCTGATGTCATGGTGGTTCACCTGGTTCATAAGATCATGTAGCTCCTCACAAGGCACGGCACTAAATAAAATTGATCAGCAAGTCGCTGAAGACGGATTCACGATGCGGCTGCGTAAAGCCTTAGAAATTAATAATTCCTTTGCATGTGAGTGTTCCTGAAGAAGTCAGAAGATATTTCTTCAATTTATTGTCAAATGCGTCATTGATAATAGCACAACTGGTGCCTGTTATCCTTGATTCGTATATCAGTAATGAAAGGTGACGAATTTTATTGTTCATCAAGTATTGTAATGATGATAATCCAATCGACGAATAATATTTTCAAACGATTGGAGTGAAGCAGTTCGTTTTTCATACATACATATCTAGACAATACAAAACAACTTGATATTTACATTTCTTCGGTCATACTTATTACAAATATATAACAAAATAATCATCTACAATGAATTTTTAGACCTCAATGGTCCAATCCTTCATTAATCTTCGTTCACTTTTTTTCTTGAACATATTCTGAATTTCTTGGAGCGACTGACCCTTTGTCTCTGGAACTACAGCAATCGCATAAATGAAGAGAGCAAATAAAATAGATGCATTGAAGAAGAATATAAATTCCTCAGATGTCCGATCTAAAACAGGCTGATAGCCTTTGCTCGCGACAGTTGCTGCTAAAGCGCTAACAATATTCGACAGGCATGAGCCAAGCCCTTTGAGCTCAGAGGGAAATATTTCCCCCACGATGCAGCATGGAATATTGGTCAATCCGACATTAACAAAAAATAGGTACATCATGAATTCGGCGATAATCAGCCATTGGAAATTTGAGACATTGTGACCATGTCGGAGCAGGAGAAAATTTATACCGATGAGAATGAAACTGATGGAAACTCCTAGAGCAGCAACTGCCAGCATTGTTCGCCTTCCAAAATGATCATTTGTGTATGTTGTCACGAAACCTCCAATTACTGCAACTATTGCTACACATATCACAACGTCAGACGGTGCCATTACGTCTATTTTCAGGGTTGTCAGGAGAATTTCCATGTACATTGGAATTACATATGCTCCGCTGAGATATACAAAACCATGAATACCAAGGACAATCATCAAAAGTTTTCGATTCAACGGTGTTAAAATAAGTTTGAGCTTCTCTTTGTGGGATAAAGATGATTTCTGGGGTGTTCCTATGTACTCTATCAACGCATCGAGTTCGCTCCTTACGTCGGTCTGCCGACTGTACCACTTGAGAGATTTCTCCGCTTTCTTTATCTTGTTGATCTTCACCAAATAGTGTGAGCTATCCGGAAGGAAAAAGAATGACAGCATGAAAATTATACTCAGGGTAAGCCCTACGAGAGCGAAGCTCCTCATCGGCAGATATGCACCCAGCAAATTACCAAGGAGATATCCAATGCCACCACCCTGGCCGACAAAACTTGTCAGAGCACCTCTGATCTTTGGACTACCAATTTCACCGATGTAAAGTGGAAAAGTACTGAAGTACATTCCTAATCCACAGCTACAGAGCACTCTAGCAGTGTAGATCGAAGAAACTGACTCGTTTATCAGGAAACAGGACCAGCCCAGGGCGTGGGGAACACCAGCAAACAATGCTGCCTTTTTTGCCCCCATATTGTGAACAATCACTGCTGCTACGATTGAACCCAGGGGCTGGCATGATAGGTAAAGTGTAGCAATCCATGATGCCTCGTCATTTGTAATTTTTACCGCTTCCGCACCTGTTGTCAATTTCGTCAGATAAGGCGAAGTCCATCCACCCACCAGTCCATCCAGAATAGCAAGGACATGCACTGCAATGTGACGTACAAATTGTCTAATGCGATAAAAATACCTGTCAGCAAATGACTATGATAAGTGACTCACGTGTCGATGCAGCTAGCCACTGCGACCATACTTTGGATTTGTTTTTCGCTGTCGCTTCCATTGTCATCATGATTTATTCGATCAGGAGAAATTTGAGACTTCTCACAATGGAATTAGCACGGGTGTCTTATTCAACCAGTTCCTAATTTCGCAGTTATTATTGTCCCGGCTTTATGGACTTGAGTGTCAGTTATTAAAGAACCATCGCACGGTGATATGCCACCCCACCATTCGCCAATTGTTGTCCAATGCACGTGTTATTTATGCACATGCGTATGGATAAACCATTTTATGGTATATATCAGAGAAGAATATATAGATCTAACGGAGTCGATGATCGACAGCACGTGGTGGCTAATATCTCACTATTATTCTGGATAGATAACTGTTTATTTCATTCCACGATATTCAAAACGTGCGTTAAAATATTATTTTAATGCTCAATTCTTATAATTTTAATCATTGTCGCAGCATCAGTTGACGCGTGTCACTTAATATTATTTTTCCATAGATATCTATGTTCATTGAGCACAGTTGTTTATTTAAAAAAAAAACCCCTTTTTCAACTTTTAATTCTATTTTTTATCTCTTTTTTATTTTATTTTATTCGTTTTTTAACTTGAAAAATATTTAACGCAGAATATATTGTTATTTTTTCACGGATATGCACTTTCTTCGAAACAACTAATCGATTCCCCATGAAATTTAATTTTTTTTGCTCATACTGCAATTGTTTATTGCAACGCCTCGCTGAACTCTTGACAATCTTCTGAATCGTTAGATATTATTTCTCCCCATTTTGTGCTTTTTCAGTATGACTCACTCCGAGATTCTAGTTTGTATTATTCATCGATGAAGTCGAAATAAGTCGAGGAAATTGTAGAAATCGATTGAGCATTTGAATAATACACAACAATGAATGTATTTGTTAATTATCGATGTCGTGATGGGAGAGAAAAACGTAATAGAACGGGAATGATTAATTCATTACTCATTACCGTATGCCACCAGAAATGATGGTACTTCTTTATTTTATTGGGAGATAATTAAGACATTGTGGTTGATGAGGCGCCTGATATCACCAGCTTACATAAACGTGAAAACAATCGTTTCTGCCAATTGAATTTATTAGTGCGACATGAGATAAAAATTGAAACATGGATTTCGCTCAGCGATTAACTGTGTCAGATATATACCCTGTGCAAATTTTTATCAATATGAATTAATTAACTAAATAATCATAATCCATGAAAAGAAATAATTTTTTTTGCACACCCGTCGGCGTGTGAATTTTTTTACACCAGTTTTTTCCTAATATCTCCAAAAGGAAGAGAAATACCGATATTTTAGTGAAATCACTTTTAATAGATAAACATGATAGCTACAAAAAAGGTATCAATAAAAATATCGCCATCTCCCTTCATTTGCAATATATTTTCTAAAAACTGAGTGAAAAAAAAAATACAGTTACGGTGAATCGATTATTCGCAACGTTTGCAGCTGCATTTTTATTTAGAAAGGAGAATGATAATGAATTTTCACGCCGAGATGGATTTCCAAGACCTATAAAATTATTCTGTCACCCACTCGTGCCTTGAGACTGCATAATGGATTATATCTTGGTGGTTAACCACATGTGCATGACCGTACGATTTTATAGTACTACTAGTTGTATCATTCGACATAGCCGACAAGTTGTAATTGAAAGGTTGTTGAGACGTCCTTGCTCGTTTAATACGCGATAAGAGTAGCAGTGAGGAAAACTTCATAATACAAATAAAAACCGGTTGATTCTGGCAATTCCTCGAACACCAACGATTCCCGATATAAATAACAGTATTACATAAACAACAAGTGAAATTATTTTTTCTAACCGGCATTTTATTTATCACATACAATTACGATAACAATTCATGAGTTTAACGGTCTAGACGCATCATTAGCGTTGTTCTCAAGCGGTGGAATTTCCGCTTTGAACCTTTGCGTGCCTTTTTTCATCAGCATCTCCTGAATCTCCTGAAGTGACTTACCTTTTGTCTCCGGTATCACCATAATCGTATAAATAAACATAAAAAACACAAGAATGGCATAAAAGAAGAAGACAAATTCTTCGGATGTGGCATCTAAGAGAGGCTGATAGCTTTTGCTCGCGGCAAATGCTGATGAAGCGCAAACAATATTAGCTATACATGATCCAATTTCTTTGAGCTCCGGTGAAAATATTTCACTCAAGAGACAACTGGGAATATGGGTGAGACCGATATTGAGGAAGAATATGTACATCATAAACTCAACTATTACCAGCCATTGAACATTCGATACGTCATAATCAAGATTGAAGAACAGGTAATGTATTCCTATAAGTGCAAAGTTGATGGCTACTCCTAGTGTGGAAACAGCGAGCATGGATCGTCTACCGAAGTGATCATTCGTGTAAATTGCCATGAAATTTCCAATAATTGCAACTACACCGACGCACACAACGACGAGTGACGGTGCTATGACGTCAATCTTGAGAGTTGTTAAGAGTATTTCCTGGTACATCGCAACTGTGTTGATGCCACTGAGCTGCATGAACAGATAAACACTGACAACCATCATCAATATTCTCCTGTTGAGGGGAGTTATCAATTGCTGCAATGACTGCTTGAACGACAACACTTGCGTCGTCTCCATGTAAATTTTTAACGATTCAAGCTCATCCCTGACATTATTCTGTCGATTGTACCACCTGAGTGATCTCTCTGCCTCCTTCATTCTGTTATTCTTAACGAAGTAATGAGGGCTGTCCGGAAAAAATGAGAATGAAAACAGATAAATGATACTGAGGATGAGATTTATGATGGCAAATGTTCTCATATCTGAATAGGCACCCATGAGATTGCCCATGAGATAACCAATGGCGGAACCCTGGGCTACTAGAGCGATAAGGGCACCTCTGATTTTCGGATGTCCTATTTCACCGATGTACAGGGGAAATGCGCTCAGATATATTCCCATAGCTAGACCACCGGCTATCCTTGATGCGTAGATCCAGGGAACTGATGTCTCCACGAGGAAAAATGCCCAGGCGATGCTGAACGGAATTCCACCGAGGAGAACTGCTTTTTTTGATCCAAATTTGTGGACCACTGCTGCTGCGAAGATGGAACCCACGGGTCGAGACAGGTGCAGCAAGGATGCTATCCAGGATGCCTCGTCGTTGGTTACAGTCAGGGATTCAGCGCCCTTCGTCAATTTTGCTAGATAAGGCGATGTCCATCCACCCACCAGTCCACACAGGAGCGCAAATATGTGAACTGAGAGATTGATAAGATAAGATAAGATTATTCAGAAAGTCGTTGCACGAGTTGGAGGAGAGTCGAGAGGGATCTAAAGGAGGGGCGAGAAATGGTGAGAAGGAAAAGAGAAAGGAGGAGAAAATAGCGGAGAGGGATATGGGTTGAACCGAAGAGAAAATGGTGGATTGCACGTAATTTCTTACTTATTAGGTACTGGGTACATAGGTTAGAGACTTGAGGGATTTTGGAAAGGGATTTAAAGGAAACGAAAAGCCTGGAATTCCGTAAGAGAACATAAAGTATTGTTTGATATTATTCAGAAAGTCGAGGAGATTAAAGGCGTAGAGGCGAATTAGGAATGGAGTTGTTTTGGAATTTGACTTACTTGTCAATGCCGCAAGCCATTGTGTCCAAATTTTTGATGATGAACGTGCGATCTCTGTGGATGTCATCTCAATTCATCTGATCGAGATATTAAATACTGAACATCACAATGGCTTCTAACCTCGCGATATGGTATTGACACGTGCGCGTGGTGTGTCGTTACCACTGATAATCACAGTCGGGGATACAGAAGCGCTCTCACCTCATGATTGAACTAGTGACTGAGTACAGACACAAGTGCAGGATCACGTTTGACATCTTAAGTGTGAATCATATTACTTTCTCGTCACCTTGACGGATGCATCCGAGACGTACGTGCTACCCGGTATTTATTGCAGGATGTCACTGCAAAAACACTACCTCGTGACTTTTTTTTTTTTTGGAATTAATGCACACGTTCTCTTTGCGCTGATCCCTACTACTCCCGTTCTCTGGATAAACAAAATAATAACGAGAATCTAATCCAAAGGAAATGATGGTTTTATCGACAATAAATAACTCGTAATATTAATAACATTTAAATAAATAATAACTCCTGTAATTATGGGAATTAATCCAAAAGAGGATCATGCCTTTATCGATAATCAAGTATCGAGAATAAATCATTGGCAATTAATGAAGCCATGAATTACAAAGTTGAAGGATTTTACAACATTTTTATTTTATTTTATCTTGATGATTGTACATAATATTTCCCTGTCACATTATCTCTGGACTCGGGTATTAATTTCAGTGGTTAACGGGACGATTGAATTAATGAGAATCATTTTCCCAACAATGAATGATATTTTTCTGAATATAAATTGTCTGATAGAATGGCAGATGATTCTATAATTTATGGATAGAGGAAAAAAATCCGCTTGAACAGACGAGTTTTATAATAAATTCAAGACAATCTGGCAACGAAATTACGACTTATTGCACGGATGTTTAACAAAACACTAGTATTGAAAAAAAAAAAATTGCAGCGGTGCTGAGCATGACACACATGTTATTCTTCCAGAAATATTTACTGGCTAATGTTTTGCGAAATAGATGTTCAAGGATAGAAATAATAGACGTTTAAAGAATGTCATAATTTAATTATTTCCACAAAATGACTGACTTTCAATGCCGGAAGAATCACTTCCCACGACACTATCATAAATCACGACTAATCACTCGTCCCAACGAGAAAAACCACGAGATATTAATCCTCCACATTAAAAATGATCATCCACCGAATAACGATAAATCTTTATCAATCATTAGTAGTCCGATAAATTTGCACAGGCTCCACTGTTTTGTCCCTCTTCATCAGCATGTCCTGAATTTCTTGAAGAGACTTGCCCTTCGTCTCCGGAATAACTATTATAGTATAAAGAAACATTAAGAATACGAGAAAGGCATAGAAGAAGAATATGAATTCCTCGGATGTGGCATCCAGAAGGGGCTGATAACTTTTGCTCGCGAGGAATGCCGAACAAGCGCAAACAATATTTACAATGCATGTACCAATTTCCTTGAGCTCCGGTGAGAATATCTCACTCAAGAGACAATTGGGAATGTGCGTGAGCCCGATATTGAGGAAAAATATGTACGCCATAAATTCCGCGATAATGTACCACTGATAATTGTCAAGATCATACCCATGCCCAGCGAGAAGATAATTCACTCCTATGAGTGCAAAATTTATGGAGACTCCTAACGTGGATGCAGCTAGCATCGTTCGTCTTCCGCAATGATCATTCGTGTAAATAGCAACACAACCCCCAATTATTGCAACAATACCTATAGCTACAACAACTAATGATGGAGCTATAACATCAATTTTTAGTTTTGTCAAGAGTATTTCTAAGTACATCGCAATTGTGTACAGACCACTGAGTTGCATGAAGAGATAAACGCAGATCACCATGAACAATGTTTTCCGATTGAGAGGTGTTGTCCATTGCTTGAATGACTCCTTCAGGGTCAATTTCTGGGGCTTCCCGATGTACATCTTCAACGACTCCAGCTCAATGGCCACATCCCTCTGACGATTGTACCACTTCAATGACTTCTCCGCCTCATCCATATTATTTTTCTTAACGAAATAGTGCGCTGTACTCGGAAAATATAAAAAGGAAACCAAGAAGAAGATGCTCAGCACGAGATTGATAATAGAAAAATTTCTCATACTGATGTATGCACCCAGTAGATTGCCCATTAGATATCCAATTGCTGAACCGTAGGAGACTAGACCGACAAGTGCACCTCGAATTTTAGGATTTCCTATTTCACCGATGTACAGAGGGAATGCACCCAGGTACAGACCCATGGCCACACCACTGGACACTCTTGATGCGTAAATCCACGGGACTGATTCCCTGATGAGGAAGAAAATCCAGGCGATTCCGAATGGAAATCCAGCGATGAAAACCGTGTGTTTGGTGCCAAATTTGTGAACTGTCACTGCTCCTATTATGGAGCCGATGGGCCGGGAGAGGTGGAACAAGGAAGCGATCCATGATCCTTCGTCGTTCGTGATGGTCAGGGTTTCAGAGCCTGTCGTTAATTTGGCTAGGTATGGTGATGTCCAGCCAGCCACTAGACCAGTCAGCATAGAAAGAATGTACACTGGAAATAATGACTCGGTGAATTAATAATTGAGATTTAAAAATAAAAATCACCAAAAATCACTCACCTATCGCTGCAGCAATCCATTGTGGCCAGACTTTTGGCTTATCTCCTTTTATCATGTCACCTGATTTTTCACGATGATTTAAACAATTGTGGGAATTTCATTGATTATGATCAATTATGGGAGAGACTGTTGACGTGATTGTAACTCATTGATCGTTCAATTGCTTTATCCACACCGGCGATCACTACATAAGTGAATATGCTAAACGCGCGGTTCTTGCTTATACGAGTTATAAACACCAGGCAAAATACATGTGGCGCTTCAAACGATTAGTGACAATTAATGATGTTTCGTTATCGTGAATGGTATTAGGGATCGTGTGTGGTGAAGAGCTGTGTGAAAATTTTTTGGATTTAAAGAGAAAATTCGGAATATGAGGACAAAATTCAGCTGTGAAGACGGCATAGAAATCATTTCTATTGTTTATTATAATAAATAACTGCGCACTGTAGTACAATTTCTGTAATTAAAAAATATAATTGATCATGTACAATATTCAGTACATCTACTATTCGTTTTGATTGTCCTTGTGGATGATTAATCTTCGATTTTCTCGATTCGCTCGCTTTTATTCATCAACATCTCTTGAATTTCTCGGAGTGATTTGCCTTTAGTCTCTGGAACTACAGTAATCGTGTAGATGAACATGAATAATAATGCAAAGGCTGAGAGAAAGAATACGAATTCTTCGGATGTACCGTCCAGTATTGGCTGATAGCTTTTGCCGGCAAGAAAAGCAGCGAATGCACTGACAACACTAACCGTGCAGGAGCCGAACTCTTTGAGTTCAGTTGGAAAAATTTCACTCAAAAGACAACAGGGAATATTGGCTAGTCCGATATTCAAGAAGAATATGTACAGCATAAATTCGGCAATGATGATTATCTGATAATTTGAAATATTGTAACCCTGTGTCATCAGCAGAAAATCGATGCCTATCAGAAAAAAATTCACAGATACCCCGAGGGCAGAAACTGCGAGCATTGTTCGTCTTCCGAAGTAATCATTCGTGTACGTCGTCACAAGACCGCCAATAATTGCAACAACTCCAACACCAATCACAACTACTGACGGTGCTATGACATTGATTTTCAAAGTGGTCAGAAGAATTTCGAGGTACATTGCGATTACGTAAACACCACTGAGATGCATGAAGAGGTTAATACCAATAATAATTATTAACAGTTTTCGGTTGAGCGGAGATAAAAATTTCCTGGCCACCGCTTTGAGAGAGAATTTCTCGGTTTTTCCAATGTACGTTATCAACGCATCCAATTCAGACTTGACGTCTTTCTTCCGATTGTACCACTTAAGTGATTTTTCAGCTTCTGTGAGTTTATTTCTCTTGATTAAATAATGAGAGCTATCCGGAATCAAGAAGAAAGACAGCATGTAAATGATGGACATGGTGAGTCCTATAACGGCGAAGGTCCTCATCGGCAAATATGCCCCCAAGAAATTCCCAATCAGATATCCGATGCCCGTGCCCTGAGCAACGACTCCAACGAGAGCACCTCTGATCTTCGGATCAGCAATTTCACCGATATAAAGTGGAAAAGTACTGTAATAAATTCCAAATCCCGAACCACCGAATATCCGTGCGGTGTAAATAGCCGGAACTGACTCGCTGATTAAGAAACACATCCATCCAAGGGCATGAGGAATCCCAGCGAAAAGAACAGCTTTTTTCGTTCCAATAGTGCGAACTATCACAGCAGCAAATATCGAGCCAATAGGCTGCGATGAAAGATACAGCGAGGCGATCCACGACGCTTGATTATTAGTGATTGTCAATGATTCAGTTCCATTTGTCAATTTGGCTAGGTATGGAGATGTCCATCCTGCCACCAGTCCATCCAGAACAGCAAGAAGATGAACTGCAACGTCAACGAACATCATTAATCGCTCAGTCTTCAGACTTGAAATTACTTACGAGATAGTGCGGCTAGCCACTGGGACCAGAGTTTCGATGGTTTGTCCGTTCTCATTTTGATCTCCTCCATGTTGGACAATTGAAATCAGAATCGGTGAATCTGACCAGCGCAACTGACGGTCTCTTTCATTGGTGCTCCCTGAGTAATTGAGTGAGAATCCTGCTTATACCAGTTATTTCGACACTTTAAAAATAAATAATGGTACCTTATCGCGAAGTTATCTTGCATGTGGTCAGACATGCAAGTATTGCGAGCCAATGTCAAGTTTTTCAGGGAAATAAATGGTTTTTGTAGAATAAATGCTCCAAACCTTGATTGATTCTCTGCACTCAGTGCCAACGCGAAATGTGTCATCAGCGATTTTCAATAAGATCGATTGATCCACTGATTAGGTTTGAAGAAGCGAAGTCAAAACATGTCTCTTTCATGGGGATGAACTGCTACTTGAATAATTAATTGTTTTAACCTCCAATCGACTCGATTCGAATTTGTGCGTGAACGATGGAGTATTGATAGGAAATTACAGTGGGGAGTGATCTTGTGTGCAATAATTATTATATATATTGTATAAAATAATGCATCGTAATTTCGTCATTCCATTCTATCCTGAGATCCCTTTGTTATCCAAAAACGGCTCAGGATAGATCATGGAGCACGCGAAGATACATTGGATTTCCTCAAAACGTGAGACTAGAATTCATTTCCGCGGGTTTTCAATAGACAGATCCGACTATTTGTTCATTTAGAATGTTCATTCATTGCAATATGACAATATGTTCACATTCTGGTGCTGTCCACTTCCTCTTTCTGTGATTTATCGGGAGACCCATTATTTTCCGATGCACACACACCCCTCAACATCCGCTGAATCTCCTGAAGGGATTTACCTTTAGTTTCCGGAATAGCAGCTATCGTAAATATCAACATGCCAAAAGCGACGAGTGCGTAGAACCAGAACATGAATTCCGTGGATGTCGCGTCTAGCAGCGGTTGATAACTTTTGCTCATGAGAAATGCAAAGACACCCGAAGTGATATTCGCCAGGCAAGGACCGATTTCCCGGAGCTGCGGAGGAAATAATTCCGCCATCAGACAATTGGAGATCGGCAGCATTCCCATATAAATAAAAAACTGGTACATCATCATTCCACTGATGCTCAACCACTGCAAGATGGGATCACCGAAGCCATTCCTAATCAGCAAGGAATTGATCCCTAGCAGGGACAAATTGACGGAGACTCCAATGCAGGAAGCAGCAAGCATGATTCGTCGCCCAAAGTAATCATTAGTGTACATTGAGATTAAACTAGAGACTATTGCAACTAATCCTGCGATTACGACAACCAGAGACGGTGTGATTACATCAACTCGAAGAGAGCTGGTCAGAAGAATCTCCATGTAGAGTCCAATGGTGAAGAGACCAGCCATCTGCATGAAGATGTAGATGAATAGAACAATTACGACGATCTTTGCATGCAACCGTGTAGATAATTGGAGAAGCGACTGCCATAAGGACAGATTTGGTTGTGTTCCTGTGAATGTCTTCAATGATTCCAACTCAGTCTTCACATCACTCCGGCGATTGAACCACTGCAGGGCCATCTCAGCCTGCTCCATCCTCCCGTTTTGAACCAGATAAAGTGGACTGTCCGGAAAGAACATGAATGGAAAGAAGAAAAGTCCAGTCACTAAAAGACTGATGACAGCAAACGTCACGATCTCTACGTACGCCCCCAACAGATTTCCCAGGAGAGTTCCAATAGCCAATCCCTGGACAATGATGCTGATCAATGCACCTCTGACTCTCGGATCGGCAATCTCACCGATGTACAGAGGAAAGGTACTGTAGTACATCCCCAAGCCGAATCCACTCATTATTCTTGATGCGTAGATCCAGGGAAGTGATTGTTTGATCAGTAAACAGGTCCAAGCCAGGGCATGAGGAATCCCACCAAGCAGCACCGACTTCTTGGATCCCAATCTTCGTGCGATTATTGCTGCAATTATCGCACCAATTGGACGAGTCAGACTGAATAACGAAGCGATCCATGAAGCTTCATCAGAGGTGATTGTTATTTCTTCGGTTCCTCTTGTCAGTCTCGCCAAAAACGGTGATGTAGAACCAATCGCCAAGCCAACTAGTAGAGCTAGAACGTGAACTATGAACAGATATCAGTAATGATAAGTTTTTGGTTAATTCATTGAACTTGTGAATTGATGATTGAGTAATTACTTGTGCAGGCAGCCAACCACTGAGGCCAAAGCTTGAAAATTTTTGTAGACGATGATGTGGTCATGATGGCGTGTTTTAACCTTTCGTGATATCGGCCATTAACTGGCTTTTATATTATCAGTTGGTTCTTGATAATAAATGTTGTTCAGCCCCGGAAGGCTGAAATTTACGGTGACGATTTATCATAATTCTTTTCGGTATGGGACTGTCTGGCAATTGGATAAAGGTACTCACAGAGGTGAGCGCTCGTAAAACTGCTGTGTCCATTGAACCTCAGAGTCTCAACACAAGTGTAATTAATGGCACGTCGATTTTTTGTGAATGAAGAAATCGTACGCATCTCTTTGCGATTCAGTCGGCGGTTGACAACGGTCTGTGGTGGACTGTCAATGCAACATTGACGTACGTCTTATATACTTCTTTTAAATTCTTAGCACGTGATCCAGAAGATCTGGTGATGTCGAAATTTTCAAAAGACTCGGGTTATATTATCAATAATAAAAACACTCATATGACAAATGCTGTCTCGCGATTAGCGACATTTTATGATGTGTTACTTCACATTATCATTCGTTTCAACTATTTGTTAATGCGAAAGAAAAATATTTTCATATTCAGCATGTGACTTACAATTGACGAATGTAGTTGTGGCTTGAAAAATACATAAAGATAAACTTCTGGTGTAAAATCATGCGAATTTAAAAAAATGAAACGAATTTTTTAATTGAGTCGTTTTTTCAGTCCATTAAAAATTCTTTAAAATAGGATTTTTACATTTTTTCAATGAAATTAAATCGGTGGAAATATGAAATACGAAAATAACAAATTCAATTGCGTTATCAGTTTATGGAATTCTTTGTGATTGCGGAAATTGATGTTCGATCGAAGAAGAAAGCGATATTCTTCCCAGATATTTGCCAAGTGAAAATATTATTGTATTATTTTTGTGGAGACGAGTAAAAATCGGGCACCCAGAATCAGGGGAGAAGGAAATTGTTCCAGTCAGGATTTTTTTTTAAAGAAATTGAGAGTGAGAGAAATAAAAAATTGCACTACTTGTTTACATTCTGTATTCATGGCATTCAAAGTGATAAGTGATCCACACAAATATTGATTCCTCCACTTCGAATCTTGATCTTAATATTTAATTCATTGAAATCCGTGAAAATGAATTGATTCCGTCGAAATAGTGGATCCGATTATAGAAGAATATTCTTAATCCGTTTTACCCTTCACTCGAAATAGGCATTTGTAATTGAAGCGAATTGTTTTCACACTTTCACCGGGAAATTGGATTTTTTTTGTTGATTTTTCAACTTGTTTCAACATTTAAAAAAAAGGAAGCGAATTCCAATTCAATTCGTGGATTTTCGCGTGATTTATCTCTATTTTTTGGTCGTGTCGATCTTAAAAATAAAAACGCAAAACCCATTATTCTGGTTCTGTTAAATTTTATTATAATATTGCGCTGGAAATTCCACAAAAATACTGAAATTAAGAATTCTTATAGCAATTCTTCGTTATCAGATAAAAATGTTTATTTTGAGTTATGGTAAACTCATAATTTTACGTAGGATATTGATAGCACTTCTGACATCCCTACAATGTTGCAAAAAAAATCCAATTAAAGAATATATTCCCTAGAAAATATCTGTAATTCCAGTTGGTATCATCAACTCCACAGGATCGACTGCATGCTTCTGTAAAAAACTGAAAACAGTGAAAATCCAATCACTCTCACATTCCAAAACTCTTCATTTTCTTCAATTTTTCCACTCACCAGTTTCCCTATCCAGAAAATTCTCGTTATCCATCGACTGAAAAAAACTGGAAAATCTCGACCTCTGAAAACTGATCTAGATAATCCCGCCTCTTGCTCTGGCCCGACAGACTTCAATTAAAAAATACAAAAAAAAAAAATCAACTGAATAAAACTGGAATACATTTTTCTATCAACATCCATTGATTCTGCATTGACCTTTACCAATAAATCAAGACTCCGCGGGCCACTCGTATTTCCCGCCTCAAAAATGACCGGTCATCTCGACGAATCGGAAATAAAAAATAGGAAATGATAAAATCCCAGACAAATCAATCCACACAATTAATGTTTATAAATTAATTATCAGATGAAATATTAACAATTTAATAATTCCCTCCTGTCTATTCTAAATAATTAATTTCCCTTTTCAAAATAATTATTGATTGAGAATTTTCCAAGTGCCGACCTTTCCACCCTCAGATCGCCCCGTGGAAATGAATTCCAAAAAAATAATCGTCAATTGACTAAAAAACAAAACCAAAATCGTCGACCATTTTTTTTATAACGAATTATTAAATTTTCCGCGGACTCTGGGTTACGAGTTCAGTTGCTGGGACATCTGCCTTATAGGATGCGATTTGAAAAAAAAGAAAAGAGTAGAGAGGGTGAGAGAGGCTGGGGGATGGTGGTGGGAAAAGTGGGATGATGGAGGGTGGACCGTGAGGGGTCAGGGATGCTGCTAGGTCGTTGGGGGTGAAAAGGGGCGAATGTCTGCCAGTAAGCGAGTACCAGTCGTACTGCACAGTCGTCTACTTTATCCTCGTTACGTGTTAGCACCAGGTGATCCAAATAATACATCAACACACATGGAACATACAATTCTTCACCTTCTATCAACGTGCATTCATTGAAATTCTCCAGTGCAATTGAACATTTCGTAACGGAATTAGACCGGACGCGTTGATAAAACCTGTGATTATGAAGAATTAAGAAAATCTTGATTATCAAGAGATCAAGTAAAGATCAGTTGAATTGATTGATCGCTTCATTGAGTCATGAATTTGAAGTGATCCCCTCAATTGACGCCAATAATTACAATCTGGCATGTGACAGTGTTACCGTGCTATTGATTAATTGAAATGAGAGATATCCGACAGTTACCAATTCCGATGACGAGTGTAATTGACTGAGAGCACTCGTTCGAGAATCTCATGATTTCCATCTGACATGTGACTTGCCATCCTGGAGCATTGGAATTTTTTGAAATCATCTTGACGATTTCAACGATAAATTCACCACCACCATGAATATCGCTGGATACTCACCAAAAAACCGGAGAGGACAATATATTAATGCATTGGTGAACATGCATGCACTATTTATCCGTCAAAATGTTGTTCAACGATGAAATGTTTCAGCATCTAGTGGTGAATTGAAACAATGAAACACCATGGGAATGTCCAGTGACCGACAAGATTTATTATTTCACGTGGTACCAAGTGCTTGTGAAATTGTAACGTGAAAATCCGTGACATACCCATTTCTGGTGAATTATCCTGATACCACGGTGGAATTGGATAGGCGTAAGTCGGTCACGCTTGTTTCCGCCTCTTCGTATTCTTCATTCGTCGTTATGATCTTGATGAGGAGAAAGAAAACGACGTGCTTGTCGTTTCCAATGAAAACTTGACGAGCACAAGAAGACAACTCTTGGATTGACTTGACAAGAACAACCCGTCAGAAAATGTACGCTCACGTACACGCTGAGAATGGCATGTGCTGTTATCTGCCGACTGTTCTTTACCTAGAGCGTTACCGTAAGTCCTGCTGATTTGTTCCAGTTCTCGTTCTTTCACATGACTCCAAATTCGGAGGAGAGCATGCCGATGCCACTTCGATTGTTAACTCGTTCGTTAACTCATTTGGGATTAATCCATGTTAATTAAATGCAATCAACTACAATCGATCATGAATCAGATAATTACCCTCTTTTAATTGATTGATTAATTGATTTCATTTTATTGCTCCGCATTACGTTGGACAAATGGAATTTATAGTAAGCCATGAACAATTAAATTGTTCATCGGGTTTTTACGTGACTCCAGGCACTCAGATCTCGTTGAGTAGCGATTGTCCATGGGATTATAATCATTACTGGAATTAACTGGTGCTGTATCATTTAGAATTGATTACTATTGACTGAATGGGTTGACGGTAATTGAATATTCGTTTGGGGAACTGAGAAGGTACCATTGAAATCCTGAGTTGATGGCTAATTGGGATGTTGATATGTATCATGTGTTCTGATTAGGCATGTGCATCGGTTCCGGATGTTGCCGTCAGGACTAGATTCTCAGATTCTAATCAAGGTGGTATGAATTTCTGGAAATCCATCGTCAATTAATTTCTGAAACAATTCCGAAGGCATTCTCAAAATCCTGAGAGCTCTTTCAAGATCAACAGTTGCTATTTAGTGCAACCGTTCAAATTCTTGGAAAGGACCTCAATCGAGGGAATCCTCGGGCTAGTGAATTTAATCTGCAAGGGCCAATTAACGGAATTACTAGGGATTTATCCAGAAGTACTTCTCACCTGTTAAAATGCTGCTGGAAATCGTGAGAAAAAAGGAAATGCTCAACTCTCTGAGTTCATAATTTGCTCAATTCAATTTGGGGATGACGGAGTTCGATGCTGTTTCCGGAATTTCCCTAGGTCTGAGGAAGGGGTCAACGTTTTTCCCAACTTTCTCGTGTTACTGGGTCGATCAAGTTGTCGCATCAATTATCAATCTTTATGCGGGAAATCGTGGAAGTGGAAAAGCTCTAATGATACCAGTGGAATTTTCCGAAACTGGGGCGAGGAGTTATAATTCTATCAAGTTTATGACTCAAAAACTATAAAAGCGGGGGGAGAGTTGAGTGGCGAGGGAAAATGAAACTGGCGGACGGTGTGGGACACGAAATTTAATTTTTCATTAACATCTGGAATTTATGAACTTAATTGATTGCGAAACACGTGCTGACGTCTGCGTGGAAAATTCTGTTTCGAAGAGCGTAGATTACAGGGAGTTGACAGCTGTCAAATGTCCATAAATTCTCAGGGAATTTCCTCCGAATTTCCATAACATTCGGAGGAACAATTTTTATTTGGAAAGTTTATAAAAATTTGGGATATTTTTCCACTGAAAAATTATAATCCCCGAAGAAATCGGATCGGTCTATTCCAAAAATGGAAATATCGCGTACAGAAAAAATTTCTTGTGATTAAAAAATAGGATTGACTTTTATCGCGGTATTCTCGCGATAATCCTCTGGGGAGAGGGAAAAAATTGGGGATTGATCGCCTTGAGGTGAATTAATAACCGGAAGACATTGAAGAATGAAATTGTCATTGTGTTATTTAAACTTTACACATATATTTGTTATGATTAATCCCCATTAGCTTAATATTAAAAATTAATAAATCCAAATGGAAGGGATTGAAAGCATTTGTCCACATATCATTTTACGATCATGATTATTAACGGTCGAACACATGATTCGATATTCTGACGAATGGATCCTCGTCGTTTGGAATTTTTTTCTGCAATTTGAAATATTCGGG